TGCAACAGCGTGAGGAATGCCGTGCGTTCTCCCGGGGAAGTTGTCCCTGGATCACGGGACCCTGGAAGTGGCGAGCTGTACAGGCTCCCAGGAGGGGAGGTGTGGAGAGTGACCTGTGCTTGCACACAGGCCTCTTGGTGGCTGCAGCAGCAGCCTTAGCGTCTCACACGCATCTCTGGTGTCCGTGCTGATAGCCGCGGTTCGCGCCCGTCTCTGGAGTTCGTTTAGGCGGTGCTCTGAATCCCCTCTCCTCCCGCACCCCGAAACAATGGTCTCTTGCCTCTTCAGCAGCTCCACACTTTTCCCCGGACTCCCTCCCAGCTAGCTGTGGCGCACTAACCCCCTTCAGGCTGTGTTCACACAGCCAACCCCAGTCCTTTCCCTGGGATCCTACCAAAGCCCGAGCCTCAGCTCCCAGCCCCTGCCCACCCCGGCGAGGGAGCAGAGAAGCCTCTCGGGCTGCTGAGTGCTGGTCGGCACCAATCCTCTGGACGGGAATCTCTCCTCTGCACCCCTGTTGCTGTGCTCTCCTCCGTGGCTCCGAAGCTTCCCTCCCACCCCACCCCCAGTGAAGGGACTTCCTAGTGTGTGGAAACTTTTCCTCCTTCACAGCTCCGTCCCCGAGGTGCAGGTCCTGTCCCTATTCTTTTGTCTCTGTTTTTTCTTTTGGCCTACCCAGGTACGTGGGGAGTTTCTTTCTTTTTTTTTTTTAACATCTTTATTGGAGTATAATTGCTTTACAATGGTGTCTTAGTTTCTGCTTTATAACAAAGTGAATCAGTTACACATATACATATGTTCCCATATCTTTTCCCTCTTGCGTCTCCCTCCCTCCCACCCTCCCTATCCCACCCCTCTAGGTGGTCAGGTCTGAGGTCTTCTGCCAGCGTTCCGTAGGTGTTCTGTAGGAGCTGTTCCGCATGTAGATGTATTTCTGATGTATTTGTGGGGAGGAAGGTGATCTCCATGTCTTACTCCTCCGCCATCTTGAAGGTCTCTCCATGGGAAATTCTTGAGCAGAGATATGGCATAAAAAAATAGTATGCTAAGGCTCAGAAAAATTAAGTAACTTGTTCAAAATGATTCAAGTTGTAAGCAGTACTGCTTAGCCAAATTTAGCTCTGGACGTTGAGCTTCTGGTTTCTCCGATTTGGAAAAGTATCAGAGGTCACTGATATACATTTCTCTAAACTGTAAGACCACATTTAAATGAAAAAATATCGTGCTTTCTTTAGACGCCTCAGAAACAAGTTTTTATTATTAGATGCTTAGTAGTCAGTTCAGCTCAACCAACACGTATTACTTATACCAGGCACCAGAGAAGCGAAGAAGAGCTTGCTTGATCCTTCTCTCAAGGAGCTCATGGTCTAAGAGAGAGACAGATTAACTCTATATGGGTCATAAAAAAACAAGAACAAAATCTTGTGCAAGGGAAAGATGAAACAGTAACTGCCTGTCCCCAAAGAAGTAAGGGAAGTCTTTCAGAGGAGGGGACACTCAATCCAGATTTGAAGGGATGAATAGGAGTTCATCAATAGGACAAAGAAGGGAGGGACATTTGGAACAGTAAACAAGGACCGTAAAAAGGCTCAAAAAAGATGCTGCTGATGGAAATGATTTTATGTGTGGAGTGGGGGATGCAAGTAAAATCTTTTCATCAATATATTAATAAACATATTTATAAAGGAACTTCTATGTGTCCTAGGCACTCTGGGAGCAAGCAAAGAACTAGAGGATATCCCAATCTAAAAAAAGGCAAGGCTTAGAATTCCTTTATCCCAAGATAAGTGTTAACTTGATTTAGGATTGCTGTATTAGTAAAGAATTTTATTTATCTATCAATCTGTACTGAGAAACCTCTGATTTTGAGTTTACATTGTAAAGAAAATGAGTTTACATATAAAGATGTCCTATCATGATTTTTAGGGCACATGTGGTCATAATATTGTTGTAAAAAGTTGCATTTTTTCTATTTAAAAATACTTTGGTGATTTTACAATTAAGTTTAACTTTTAGCACATACATTACTGTATACTGTCATGTAGAACTCAGAAATCCTTTAAACTACTGACAGTGGAGTTTGGATATTATCCCACAACTAGCTAGAGACACTAAGGAAGTTAGATCAGAGAGTGCCATGATTAGATACTCATTTTAAAGAGTTTGCTAGCAGCTTGTGAGGGATGGATTAGAGGGTGGGGGGTGATAGGTAGGGAGACCAGAGGCAGAAGATCAGTTAGAGGATATCACAGTAGTCTGGAGAAGAGATGACATGAGCCTGAATTAAGGCCATGGCAGGGAAAATGGATCAAAGTGGTCAGCTTTGGTTAGAGTTAGGAGAGGAAATGGAAAGGATGTTGTTTTTTTTTTACTATGATCTGCTGCAGGAAAACATTATATATCACAACCAAGTGCCTACATGCAAAAATTTCTCCAAACAGTTCAATACTTTATTACAAATGATGTCTCCTGATATTTTCACATCAGTTCCTTTCTACTGTATTCTTTTCATGCTGGCTGTAACCTAGTGAATTGATTCCATGGTGAATAGAAGCTCTGACTTGGCCATTGGGGTTGAAATGGCGGAAGGACAGCAGAGGTGAGATGTCTAATGGGTAGCTACATTTACGAGTCTAGAGCTCTGGAAAGAAACTAGGCCAGGACTGGAAGCCACGGCATGGATGAGTCCATCCAGATCTGGGTAAGAAGGAGGAGAGAAGCAGACCAAGGTAGCACCCAGGGGATATTCAAAATATAAATGGTAGAAAAGGAGTCCACAGAGAAGAAAAAGAAAGAGCTAAGAGGTAGGTGAACTCAAGAGAAAGTCAAGAGAGGAGAATGCTATGAGAAGTAATAATTAACATGATCAAAAGCCAGAGTGGTCAAGTATGTTAAGGACTGAGAGGTGACCACGTGTTGGGAAGTGGCAAGGAAACTTCAGAACTTATAGATAATATTTCTTTCTGAGAGTGAAACTAGAACATATTAGATTCAGTTCAGCTTAGTAAACATGTATTGTTTATACACTATGAAGGTATGCAAGACTCTACCTCTGCCCACAGCCTCAGAATCCTTCTCAAGATGGCTCTTCAGGCTGCCAGTGACAGTTAACAAGCATTAGCACAAGGGGATGCTACAAGGTTCCCATCCTGAACCTTCTATTTGTTAACACAGTATTGATGATCTGTAAATATGTGCCTGGGAGAGGATTTGGGAGGTACCCAGGTCTAATCAGGACAGTTAAGATGCAATTTCAGAGATATAAGACTAGGATATGGTTGACACTCAACCAGCAGCAATCTAATAGCTGCACTCTGTCCTAGGGAAAAAAATAAAATATTTAATAAAGAAAGGTGAAGGAAGGTGAGCTTTTGGGTTACTGCTTGAGGGACGAAAATTAACATTTAGAGTGAAAACTAAGAATCTATGTCCTGAGCCCTGTCTAGGGGAAATGTATCCAGAGCAGACAACGTGAGTATATGACCAGACATTAAGATATCGGCATCCCGATTTATATCAGGTCAAGTTTGACCCTCGTGTTAAGTTCTAAATAAGTAAATTTAGAGCTTGTAGCAGATAGCTCTAAACATAAACTAAGTGTTCGTATTTTAGGTATAAGACTGCTGTCCATCTTCATACCTCTTTTCCCTTCTTCCCACTTAACATCAATTCTTCCCATTTCACTCAGATCCCAAGAAATCCTTAATCAATAAAATAAAAATTGAACATACCGTGAATGAGACTGAGTGGAGTCGCTTTCAGCCATGGTTGCCTTCTTCTTCCTTCTATGTGCTACTCAGTTACACACACTTGCCACATTCTCTTTTTGAGACAGTAGTTTGGAACGAAGAGGTTGGATATGTCTGTATCAGAACAAACCATGTGTGCAGATATTCCTACAAGGATGGGAAGGAATGAGTAATTACAGAGTGGCTCCATAGGGCTGGCTTACTCCCCTGTGGGGGTAGATTTGCTTGGTTTAGTTAACATTTCCAGCTGTCAGGTTGTGTCTGCATTCACCATGAGTTGATTTTTCTGATGGATTTGATCAGCAGATTTAAGTTAACAAAACACAAAACTCAGACTTTGACTGCATTGATTGCTCACTTGTATCGATGAGTCTCATGTCCTCTGTTGGGGGAACTGATGTCTACTGAGATTGTGCTTTCTTCAATTTGGTATTTATTGACTCCTACTATATGCCAGCACTGTCTTTTATAAGCAATGAATACACTGAAATCTCTACTTAATAACCCCTGTTAAGTTGAATTCTATTATTTAGAAGTTATGCTGCTTGGAAATTGATCATTATATGATTTAGCCCCCAAAATAGGATATAAAGTGGTATATTATATATGATGTGAGCTCAGCTCAGTGAATTTATATATATTTATGGGCAAGAGAAAAGCCCATTTTCTGGTATAAGCTTAAATTTGCCTCTTTCTTTATGCCTGCTTATGGAAATTAATATCTCCCATTGTAGTTATTCCTGAACTAGATTCCAAATGGGAGATTTGAGGGATTGGAGAATTTAGCAGATCACCTTTTTGCTCAGTCAAAAGTGATTTTTTTTAAAGTAAGCCTAAGCTTAGTACAAAACAAATACACACACAGATATCGTCAATGTGCCGGGTATGTTTGTGTGTCCCCCCCTAATACTTTAAGGTCTGATACATCTGCATGAAATTCACAGGAGATAAAGGGGAGGGGAAGGCAGTGGTGAACCAACCAGTCCACTTTTCTATGGAAACTCCCTCCTGGACAGTTATAAATCTCTTCTGTTCAGCACAAAGTTATACAGATTTCTTTATTCTCTCTAAACACCCTGCCTTTGTCCAAAAAGAACTGGAGCTCACCACTTTGCCATTTGCTTGATTTTTTCTTTAGACCTCGCCTCAGGAAGGGTAGCCTAAAATTTTCAAAATACAGAACTAACTCCAAGTGATGTCTGTTTCTTATTCCACTCTATCTCCTCATTCCTCCACGTTATTTTTTCAAAGGATCCCCAAGATGCTATCCCCAGAGGGACCATGCTGGCCATCTTCATCACCACTGTCGCCTACATAGGAGTTGCTATTTGTGTTGGTAAGTTGTGTGTCTCTGGTGTCAGAACGCCAGAATTACAAGAGGTCCACTTGTTTTTCATGTCATGTGGGCTTTCCATGGAACGTAAGTTGAAAATTTTTAAATAGGCAACAATTTTGATTCCCTTCTTGGATGCTCTAGGAGTTTGAATGCAATTAAGCTGTAACACAGGTGTCGGTCAGGGATAGAGTAGAGGTAATCAGATTGTCATTCTACCCGAACACAGAAAGGATCCCATTTTGCTGCTCTAGGTGATGTTTCCACTGCCAAGGAAGCCACCATCTCCAGCATCCTCCTCCCTTGCCTTTAGGAGGCAGGTGAGGAACAGAGTAAGAGAAAAGAAGCCCAAAATACAAAACAACAATGACAAAAGCCTTAGGAAAGTACACAAGATACAGAATTGATGACTGTGTCTCCTCCTTGCACTGCTGTCCCTAATATGGAAATGTCACTGTCACCAATTGGCAGGCAATCAGACTAGACCCAGCTGCCAGCAGTGTGGGCAGCCAGCCCCCACATCGCTCAGTGAGCATAAAATATGTGGATTTGCCTGCTGTTCTTTTTTTTAAATTTATTTATTTTAAACATCTTTATTGAAGTATAACTGCTTTACAATGGTGTGTTAGTTTCTGCTGTATAACAAAGTGAATCAGCTATACATATACATATATCCCCATATCCCCTCCCTCTTGCGTCTCCCTCCCACCCTCCCTATCCCACCCCTCTAGGTCGTCACAAAGCACCGAGCTGATCTCCCTGTGCTATATGCAGCTGCTTCCCACTAGCTATCTATTTTACATTTGGTAGTGTATATATGTCCATGCCACTCTCTCACTTGGTCCCAGCTTACCCTTCTCCCTCCCCGTGTCCTTAAGTCCATTCTCTACGTCTTCATCTTTACTCCTGTCCTGCCCCTAGGTTCTTCAGAACCTTTTTTATGTTCCATATATATGTGTTAGTATACAGTATTTGTTTTTCTCTTTCTGACTCACTTCACTCTGTATGACAGTCTTATTACTCAGCCATAAAAAGAAACAAAATTGAGTTATTTGTAGTCAGGTGGATGGACCTAGAGGCTGTCATGCCTCCTCTTCTTAAGCTGACTTTTGTTCCACGTGCTGCCTGCAGCCACACCTCCTCCTGGTTGGGGGTCACCTCAAGCTTATGCCATTATTGGAGAGGAAGGAATGTGGAACATTCAGAGAAGAAAACTTTTCTGTGCACACTCAGGAATACAGCTCCAGGCTGGACCACTATGGAAGCCCAGATGGCCATTTAAAAGGGCACATCCTAATTGTCCTCTGCTTACTATAAAGGAAATTGATAAAGTACATATATCTGGAGTTGGATTCTTCAGAAAAAAACAAAACAATTAACTTAGGTTCTTTCTTTTCTCACTGTCTCTTATTTCAAGAAATTGGATAATATTGTTAATTGTATTGTTGTGACATTTCCAAATTTAGTTACATGCAGAGAGATTTTATTCCAGTGCTTTAGGAAATCAACACATTTTTTAATGACCTTGAAATCACCTAAATTTCCCAAATGGTTTTTCTTTCTCACACAAAGTAAGGAGGAAGAAATGAGTAAAGGAATAGACCTGACTTCAGAGATTCTTCTCCTTTATTGCTTCTTATGGGTAGAAAAATCTGTGTTCCTATACTTTTTCCAGGGTAAGAAAAGGATAGTCATGGGGTCCTGGGCCTGTCATTAGAGCAAATAATGGTTCATGGCTTGGCTTCATAGGAATTTGGGGAGTTCTACTATGCAGAAGTTAAAACACATGATTTTAAAAAGTCAGCTCAACTAAATGAACAATGCAAAAAGGTAAAATCTGAAATGGATAGTTTTGCTTGGTAACCAACATCCATACTTTCAAGTATTTAAGCAGAGGCTGGCAGGCCACTTCTCAGGGCTATATAAAAAGGATTCCTGCACTGATTATTTTAAATGGCTCTTTCAACTAAAAGATTCTACAAACTTTAAGTCTTTCCCAGGTTCAAAGAGCAGGAATTCCATGATTATAATTGAGGGTTCCCATTAGTATCTGTTGCTGGGACGTCTCTTAAAATAATTAGCAAGGAATGAGAACTCACCCTGCCTGGAGACTGAAAAGCAAAATGAACAGTTTCATTGACTGGCATTTAGTTTGCAAAGTATTTATCCTTCAGGTAGTTCAGAAAAGTTTATATCTATCTATCTATCTATCTATCTCACACCTATATTCATACCTTTCAATAATCCTATCAAATACATAATGGCGAGATAACAGAAAAATTAATAATAACAGTCAGTGATTAAAATATATATCAAGAATCTTTAAAAAGTTCATAACTCATTTTAGGGAATCTATCCTAGAGAAATGCTTTGAATTACAGAAGAAAGATTTTATGTGCAAAGATGTTCATAGGATTGTTTGTAATGGAAAATAACAGAAATACCCAAATGTATAAAAATAATAGAATAGACTGAGATAAATATTTGATAGGATGTTATTTGACCATGAATATTACCTAGGAAATCTTAATATTTTATCTCAAAATATTTTCTGTATCATTTAAACCATTAAAATTGTATAAGTAAAATTATAATGGTTTAAAAAAGTTATGCAAAGGGCTTCCCTGGTGGCGCAGTGGTTGAGAGTCCGCCTGCCGATGCAGGGGACATGGGTTCGTGCCGCGGTCCAGGAAGATCCCACATGCCACGGAGCGGCTGGGCCCTTGAGTCATGACTGCTGAGCCTGCGCGTCCGGAGCCTGTGCTCCGCAACGGGAGAGGCCACAGCAGTGAGAGGCCCGCGAACCAAAAAAAAAAAAAAAAAAAAAAAAAAAAAAGTTATGCAAGGAAAATCATTAGTTGAAAATAAGAGCTCAGTTCTCCTAATCACTAGAATTCAGTAATGTCAACCCTTGGGTCTCTCACAGATGAGAAAATAAGTTCTTCTATCTGAAAAACTCCCAATCAGTAGCACTAACCCAGAAATTTGAATTGAATCAATATTATGTGCAAAGCACTGCTGAAAGGAAGGGAGTCTCAATCCCAAGTGTCTTCCAGAGGCAGGCAAAAAGCTAGGACTTAAACTACCCAAGGCAGTGGAAGCGGCAACCTCTTAGAGATAGGGGTCATTCCCAGGCCTCAGAGGATGGGAACTTCCACATACTAGTCAGAGGAAGTGTTGACAATGAAGACAGGATAGGTCAAAGTAAACTAAGTATGTTTTCAGAAGAAAAACCTTAAGGGAGCAGAGCCCTTCATATAAAGAAATGACAAGGCTTCGTTGTTTTCCCAGGGGCCTGTGTGGTCCGAGATGCCACCGGGAGCGTGAATGACACCATCATTTCTGGGATGAACTGCAATGGTTCAGCAGCCTGTGGGTTAGGCTACGACTTCTCAAGATGTCGACATGAACCATGTCAGTATGGGCTGATGAACAATTTCCAGGTTCGAACCTCAAAAAATAATAATGTTTATTGCTACTGCTTCCATTTTTAGAACATCATGTATAATGAAACTTCTGACTCCCGCAACACATTGGTTATTGACTGTTTCGAATTCAGCAAGGAACAATTCGTGTGGGAGGAAAGGGAGTCATACAGGCATTCATTATGTGGTTACACTCACTGTGGTGGGGAGAGAACAGACAGTTGTATGAATTGCGTCACCAGGGAAAGATTACCACCGCCATTATGCATCTTCCAATCAATTGTGTAAAATTTCCTGGTGGGGAGATGGAGAGAATTTGAGACTTTGATTAGCTAGCACTAGGAATGCATTTCATGCCTGGGCTTCAGCTCAGGAAAAGCCTCTGCTGTGGTCCTGGAGTGTGTGGAGGACAAAGCCAAGAGGGAAATTGTGAGTGGCAGTTGCGGGGAGGTAAGGGAGGGGGAAGGAACAAGGGAAGTTGGGGAAACTGTGGAACTTAAAACATATTAATTTGTCCGAATGATTGGTGAGCAGAGGGAGAAGCAAATTTGTCGTGAAGGCTTCATTCATCTAGTTTAACAACCAACAAAGAGAAATTAACTCAGCTGAAGTCATTATTCCAAAATATAACTTAAATTGATAGAATCTCATATGTCTCAGATCTAAAATTATGTTTAATGAGCACAGAAAAAGCAAAGGTTTGAAAAGCCTCTATGTGCAGGAAGAACAAGAAAGGCTAATGCCTTTAAAAAGGTTGGTAAACAGCTGGGTCCCTCCTCAAACCTTATTAAAATACCACTTTCTGCTGAATAGAATTTCCCATTGTCCAAGAAACAGATGCCCAGAAAGGACAGAGGGGGAAAATGTTGTCAAAATCCTTGAAATCATTTCCCTGTTTATTCTTTACAGTATCTTCTGGATGTATTGTGGTGAGCATTTATTATTTTTATTTAAAAAAACAGAACAAACAATAACAAAGCCATTTCCATTTTGAAAAAAACAATTATTAAGAACTTGAGAATGAAGCAGGGGAAAAAAAATATATGATTAGAAGCAATTAGCTTATTAAAGAGATTCCAAATCACAGAAAGTGGAAAGGGAAGCATCTGCATAAAATTTTGGCTTAAATTTTTTTTTTTTTTTTTTTTAACTCTCTGTTGGATGAGTCTCCTTACTTGAACCTCTCTCCTCAAGGTCATGAGCATGGTGTCAGGGTTTGGCCCCCTCATCACTGCTGGCATCTTTTCTGCAACACTCTCCTCAGCCCTGGCCTCCCTCGTCAGCGCACCCAAAGTTTTCCAGGTGACAAAGACACAAGAGCATGTGCTTCTCCCCTCCTTCTGTTGCCACTGAACACGGATCAAGCTGAAATATCCATTCTCACCGGCAATCATTTTCTATCGCTTTCTGAAGCAGTTTAATGTTTGCATCTGGCTCCAACGCTGTGTCTGCCACATAGTCAAGATCAATACAAATAATATAAAGAATGATAAACTGCAGTGTTAACTTGTGCTTCATATTATGTATCACTTCGTCTTTCCCCAAATCTTGTTAGAATCACCCAGGGAAAATGACTGTGCATAGATATAAATGACGAATTTCTCCTCTTCTTTTCCATTAGGCTCTGTGCAAGGACAACATCTACAAAGCCCTGCAGTTCTTTGCAAAGGGATATGGGAAAAACAATGAGCCCCTGAGAGGATACTTTCTCACTTTTGTTATAGCCATGGCGTTCATTCTTATTGGTTTGTAGTTTTCTTGTTCTTACTGAAAGCCAAAGAATTCTGATTACTCATAGGGTTTTCCTTTGAGCTTGAGACATTACCTGTTTTATGTTTAATACCCCATTTGGGAATACTGGAGTCTGTCTAAGAAGGAAATGAGAAATCCTGTGTGTGGAGGGCCTTTGAGGACTTGAGGTGGGCTTTGGACTTTAATCTCTTCTTTGAATCTGAATGTGGGAAATCCATCCAACCAAATGCAACCGAAGCCTTCCTCCAACCCACCCAATACTGTCTAATCCCACTGTGTCCCCCAGCTGCCACCTGTCTTTACATCTCCTGACAGCCAGCAGGAGAGTTGAAGTGTCTGCTCTCAAAATGTGGTCTGTTGACCACCTGTGTCAGAATGAAAATCACCTGTGGGTTTGTTAAAGTGCAGATTCGTTAGGCCCAAGGCCAGAGTTAGAATCTCTGGTGACGAGGAATCTGATTCTTACAAGTTCCTGAAGTTCACAGACCACTAAGGTTTGAGAACCACTTACCTCAGCTCTTTCTCCTTAAGCAATAATCTCGGCTCCTTCTCCCTAAGCAATATAGAAACAGCTACACAATCTTGGAGAGGCACATGCGTCATGGTTAGCCTGCACATTCCTCACTCCTCCCTAGGGTGCCACGATTGTGGGTGAGCATATTAGAGGAAAAGAGGCAAAAGGCAAGGACGATGGTAACTATGCATAGACAGCAGTGGTGCCAAACGATGGGGGCTCCGCCTCATCACATAAACTCAGGAAGTGACTCTCTGTATCTATACATAATCAGTCTTTTGTTTATTTTTTAAAAATCTATGTTTGTTACATTTGTAAAACTTAAGTAAAAAAGTGATGATGTGTAGATATGTTTCAATTGTGTAATTTAAACTTTAAGACTTCAAATTATTGTCCTAGACTGCATTTAAGTGATCAAATAGCCCAAAGTTTTAAAAATCGTATAAATCAAACAATACTCTCAAAGGTCACTCTTTCAGAACGCTGTAAATTAGCTTCGTGGCGCCAGCTTCGTGGCAGCTACTTTTGCCTACTTTCTTGCTGGCATCCGTGTTCTAGAGTCACACCCAGCTGCCACCTACGTTTGCATCACTGAGGTTGATAGCTGTCTGATCTTCAGATGCATGAGAATGTCTCTAAATTATTTTTATATCATACAGTAAACAACCCAGCTAGGATTCAAACATATTGGACATTTAGATACTGAGGTAAAACTTTTTTTGGCAAACCTTGAGAGGTAGAATTCTCTAGAGATGTAGAAAAGTACAAATGACTAACAAAAATTCTGAAAGTCAGAGAGAGCAAGCTGGGTACATGCAGAGATGTATCCAATTAGATGGTTCTGGTGCACCGGTATTTAACTAACCTGTCACCCTACGGAGCCTTTTGATTGTATACAAAGCAGATAAAGAACACTATGTTTGGTACCTCTGAAATAGCTACAGGGGAGTTTGTCATCTGCCTGGTCTCCAAATACTCTATCCACTTCCACTCCAATCTTCTGTAGGTAGAGGTCTTGATTGTCTATATTTTTTGATTGGTGAGTTTTCTCGTTTCTTACTTTATAGAAACCCTGGCTGAAAATATATTTGTAAATGAGTGCAGTCCCAAAGAAAAATCACTAGCTTCTTAAACTTTGACAGATGCTAGCTATGCTTTCAATTTCCAAATAAAGTCAGGCTTCCAGGCTATAACAGCTGTTCAGCCCCTGATCTCATCACTCATATGGACACATACTCAATTCTGCTTCGTTCACAGCGGAACTGAATACCATTGCTCCCATCATCTCCAACTTTTTCCTGGCCTCATATGCACTTATTAATTTCTCCTGCTTTCATGCCTCTTATGCCAAATCTCCAGGTAAGCTGACTTTTCAAAACTAAAATAAACCTGAGTAAACAGCTTGTCTCAATAAAATGAAATAAGTCAGTGAAAAGTGCCTGATCTGTGTTTATATGTTTCCTTATATCCTAGTGGGTGGTGTAATTCACTTTATTTTGGTAAGTTGGGGGATGACTTCTGAAACAGAAGAAGAATCATTTGAGCAATGGCCTTTTTGACCAACCATAAAGTCAATTTTCTCCTGCAGCAATAAATTATTCATTGCAAGAGAAACCACATTTATTTCAGCAATAGAAAAACACCACTATTTATTTCCAGGGTGAAAGTGACCACAGAAGTGGAATGAATGTATATATTTGCAACTTCCTTACTATCAATTTGTTTCCTGCCCATGGTGCAGAAGAGAAGGATGAGTAGTTCCCACAATTACCTGCTGAGGGCAGTCAGTGGAGATTCACACCGAAGCTGGTGACATCCCTGCACTCCTCACACTGGTGTTTAAAGTGGTGCAAAATTTCACACCAAAGAACCTTCCCCTATCTTTCTCACCCCTCACCTCTTCTTTGCTTCCACCGGCCAGTTAGAAGAAATTCTCATTTTCTTCTGCCTTTCCACCAGAATAGAGACTTGTCTTTATCAACCCTCAGAAAGTTCTTCACTACAAGGACTTTTATCAAGGATATAAACACATCTTCACTTTATTAGGGTCTACCAGGAACTCAAACCTCCTTTGGAAAACCTGCTGCAAATATGACAAAGTATAGATGGAAGGAGAGCCTCATCCACTCAAGGCCACTAGGCTCCAGAAGATAACTGAAGAATTTTTGTTTCTGTTTTGTTGCCTTGTCTTAAATAGAGAGCAAAAGGTTCTGGTCAGTGAATACAGCAGATCATAGAAATGTGTGCTGCCATACCATGTTGTGTTCATTTTTAAAAAACAAAGTGAAGTAACTGAGGTTGGCAGGGGTAAGAGTGGAAAGGAAGGAGGAAAAGAGTAAGAGAGAAAAAGAGGAATAGAAAAGCACAGAAACACACACACACACACACACACACACACACACACACACACACACACACACACACAGAGTCAGACTGAGAAAAATAAAGGCATTTCCAGTGATGTTCTTGAAGTGCTATTTCCATCTTGTGGCCAATTTGGAAATTGCTCTTGAAGACGGAAAGTTCTGTTGTGTTTTGGCAACTCCAAATTTAAAATATGCTTTACCCATAGACCAAATGTGCCGTTCAAATCGGAGCTTCTTTATCCTGACCATACTGTCTCCCAGCTTCTTTCATTTCAGGGAACTAATAGAACACGGAAACCCTCATGCATATATGAATGGTGAGAAATATTTTCTTTGCAAAATGCATGATAAATTAATGCATCAGGTTTAAGAAGCCATTACAGAAAAATTTCTCCCTCTTTTGCCATAGATTATTATTTCTGAAAGGGCAGGCACGATCCTCTTAGAGTAAAAGCAGAGCTAGCACGAAGTCAGTGGATTGACTTTTGATGACTGCTCTGCCTTCCCCATGGGAACAATAAGCCTATTGTCTTAACCTTCTCTTTCTTGAGCCACCAAGGTGTTCACCCGCCAAGCACCCCCCCCACCCCACTACTCCCCACTCTTTCCATCTCTCCTGCCTCCTTTCAACTCTTGACGGCATAGATATCAGATGCTTAGGGATTCGTTGTTTGGGAAGACATCCTGGCATGCAGGAAGTGCGGAGGGGTTATGACTGACACATTTTCTACATTTCACAGCTTTCTTATTTGGTGTAATTACACCTTCATAGGCCAGGGACCAAGATCACAGAAAGCAAATAATAGAGTTAGGAACTTGACCTAAAAGTTCTGATTTTTATGCTAGGAAAGAACACATGTTACCTACAGTCTAATAATACACAGTGGTATGATGGTGATAGTGTGGAAGGTTTTCTTGGGCACATAGATTTTTTTTTTTTTTAATTTCAGGATGGAGACCTGCATACGGTATTTACAACATGTGGGTATCTCTTTTTGGAGCTATTCTGTGCTGTGCAGTCATGTTTGTCATCAACTGGTGGGCAGCTGTCATCACCTATGTCATTGAGTTCTTCCTCTATATCTATGTGACTTACAAGAAGCCAGGTAAGATAAGATGGATTTGTATTGCAGGGGGTTTCCTAAGAACTCTCTAACTATCCATTCACTCAACAGATGTTTATTTGGCAGCCTCTATGTGTCTAGGTGTGCCATGTGTATGGTGGATATTAATAATATAATGTAATATGATACAATAGTTAAGCTCGTTGAGCACCTTAAATGTACTCATTTAATCCTCACAATAGTGCTGTATATTAGGTACTATTAGTTCCATTTTACAGATGAAGAAACTGGAGTTCAAAGAGATGACCACTCGCTGAGGTAACCGTCAGGATGGGATGGAGCTGATATTTTAACTAGAGCGTGTATGATACCAAGCCCCACAAGCTGTCCACTGTATCACCTTCTAAAGTCCTGATAAACGAGATATAGTCCCTGTCCTCAAGAAGCACAGTGTTACACATAAGCACTTAACTATACTACAATATAGCAAGCACCGTGAGAGTGACATGAACAAGTTACTGAGAAAAGGAGAAGAAATGACTAAGTGTGAGTAGAGATGTACAAGAAAACCTCCCTGGGCTTCCCCGGTGGTGCAGCGGTTAAGAATCCGCCTGCCAATGCAGGTGACACGGGTTCCAGCCCTGGTCCGGGAAGATCCCACAGGCCGTGGAGCAACTAAGCCCGTATACTACAACTACTGAGCCTACACTCTAGAGCCCACGAGCCACAACTACTGAGCCCGTGACCCACAACTAGGAGCCCCGAGCACCTAGAGCCCGTGCTCCGCAACAAGAGAAGCCACCACAATGAGAAGCCTGCGCACTGCAACAAAGAGCAGCCCCCGCTCGCCACAACTAGAGAAAGCCCACGTGCAGCAACGAAGACCCAACATAGCCAAAAAAAAAAAAAAAAGAAAGAAAATAAATTTATAAAAGAAAAGAAAACTTCCCTGGTTCATGGCTTTTGTTCCCAGGGTCAAGCACTCAGTAGGTACTTATAAATATTTGTTGAATGAACACATAAGCTACTTTAAAAAAAAAAAAAAAGGCAAGAGACTAGGATTGGTTAATCAGATAGAGCCAGGGAAGGTTATTCTAGGCAGAAGAAAAAGTGTGAGTGAAGTTAGGAAGCATGCAAGTATGTGGCGTATTTAGGAAGCCCCAAGGCCTTTAGCACGATGGAGTCCTTGGGTGCTGAGGAGAAGGGGCCTGAAGGTGAGCCTGGAAGGGTAGGTTGGGCCAGATGAACAAGCTTAAGTGTCGTGCTAAAGAATCTGGAGCAGCAAGAAGCTGCCACAGATCATTCAGTTGTATCTGAACTTTGGATGTTACCTCTAGAACCAGTGAGAAGGATGGATTGAAGCTGGGAGAGGCTAGAGATTAAGGAGTGCAGTACTCAGAGGTCCAGTCTCAGGGGCCAGACAGGCCCTGAGCCATCCTCACACTCACCTTACCATTACTCCACAAGTAAGATAGAGAAGGTAGTAACTACTTTGGAGGGTGTGCTTTTGTTGCTTTTCTTTATCACTTTATCCATTTTTAACATCAGGTATAATTTACGTATGGTAATATTAACCCCCTTTAGATGTACAGTCTGTAAGTTGTAACAAACTTACCCAGTCTTGTAACCAACACCACAATCAAGACAGAGGACATTTCCGTCATCGCTAAAAGATTCTGTGCAATCTCTTCCCCCCAACTTAGCCCCTGGCAACAACTTTTCTGATTTCTGTTCCTATAGCTTTGTCTTTTCCAGAGTATTATGCAGAACCATATAAAATAGTGTGTAGCCTTTGTGTATGCTTTCTTTCACTTAACATGAGGTTTTTAGATTCATCCATGTTGTTGCAGGTAAAAGTAGTTTGTTCCTTTTTGTTGTTGAGCAGTATTCCATTGTATGACTATATCTCAAATTTTTAAAAAATGAATTCACCTTTGATGGACCTTTGGGTTGTTTCCAGCTCGGGGTGATTATATCTAAAACTGCTATAAACACACAGGGCTTTATGTGGGCATATGTTTTCATTTCTCTAGGAGTGGGATTTATGATTATATAATAAGTGTACACATAACTTTGTAAGAAACTGCCAAACTGTTTTCCAAAGTAGCAGTATCATTTTCCATTCCTAACAGCAGTGAATGGAAGTCCTAGTTGCTCTGCATCCTTGGCAGCACTTATTAATGTCAGTTGATTTTTTTAAAAAAACATTCTAATTGGTGTGGTTTGGTCTGCATTTTCCCGATGACTAATGATGTCAAACATCTTATTTGCCATCCACATATCTTCTTTTGTCAAGCGTCTGTTTAAATCTTTTGCCCATTTTTTGAGTTGTTTGTTTTCTTATTATTCAGTTGTAAGACCTCTTTATATATTCTAGATGCAAATCCTTTAGCAGTACATGTTTTGCAAATGTTTTCTGCAGGTCTGTGGCTTGTTTTTTCATTTTCCTTACAGTTTTTTTTGAAGAGCAGACATTCTTAATACTTATAAAGTCTAATTTATCATGTTTTTCTTTTATGGTTGGGCTTTTTGCTTCTAATCTATCTTTCCCTAATCCAAGGTTACAAACTTCTTCTGAAAGTTTTAACGCTTTAAATTTTTAGTTTATGTCTCAACCATTTTGAGTTAATTTTTGTATATGATGTGAGGAATGGCTCAAGGCTGATTTTTTTGCATATAAATATCCAATTGATTAATATGGTTTTTAAAAGAATGAAATAACCTAAGGTATGCTAAATGCCCAGTGCATAGTCAACACAATCAATATTAATCTTCTTTATCTCCAGATAATTATATCTCATCATTTTCCTGGCTATTCTGAGCAAGACTGGGGAGATGGCTCTGTCTGCCATCTGGGATGAATCTGTACATTCCCATCAGGGACTTCTTATAAAATTTAGAGGATCCATCTAATATTTAATTTTTTAAATTTAAGTCAGGACATGGCAGTGCTTACCTCCCTTATTATGAAGATTAGGTCCTAAAAAATCAAATTAAAATGCTTGCTAAAGACTGACCCTCTTCATGGACATCTGGAAGTAAGAATTCCCAAGCTATTCAGTTTTATTATTCAAATATAAAGATTGCTGCACACTGTCTATGTATGCAGAAATGCCTCTTTTCTTTTCAGTTTAAGAATTTGTGAAGACCTCTTGAATTTATTCAGGGGCTGACCATTTTCCCAAATCTATCTGCCTGCAATGTAGTTATAACACAGCCTACCCCACCAAGTAAGGTTTCTTAGGCTGCAGCTCTAAAGTCTGATCCTTAGCTGGAAAGAGAGGTCTCACTTCTAAGAATTCACAATGTGTTCATGGAAGGACACACTGCTCTTTCTAGGAAATACTACATTATGTTTTCTCTTATTTGGGCGTTCGTCACTGCTGACATAGCCAAGGAAAATCATAGAAGGGAATGGCTTACAAAAATATTCACAGTATACAGAGGGAAGGTGGGTGCTTTTATGCCAGATTTCTCCTTCGTCCACAGATGTGAACTGGGGCTCCTCCACGCAGGCTCTTTCCTACGTGAGTGCTTTAGACAATGCTCTGGAACTAACTACAGTGGAAGACCATGTGAAAAATTTCAGGTAAAACTGGCTTCTCAGGCATCCTGGTGTCATTTCACATTAGAAGTAGCTTTCCTCTATGGGAGACCAATGCACTAGTCACACGCTTTATGGATATATTCTAAGATAGGCAGTCTTACAGAACTGCCACATTTTCATGACAGTACCTCCTATGAATGAGTGCTTCTTTTCTTCTACTCTGAGCTGTGCCCACCCCCAGCTATAATCTCTCATAGTGCTGGCTGTCATCTTCCATGAACAGATAGAGAGGGGATCTCAGTGACATGATTTCAGAGAGATGTCCCCAAATCCCTACACACATTAATCATTGTTGCTGTCTCCATTCAGCTTACGGCTTTGTGGCTTACTGAATTCCCTTAGGAGAAGTTACACTCTAAGTTCTTCATTAGTTATATCTTATTTTGAATGGAACCTCAAACCACAAGCTTTGAAAGGAGGGTGAAGGAAAATAACATGAAAATACTGGTTGGAGAAGGACTGGTTGTATTGGGGATTTGGGATAGGGTATTGTCCAGAGGAAAAAGGCAGGGGGAACCCAAGACTACCTTTTCCTTACTTTACATTTTTACTGTCACTAACTAAACTAAGAATACAAAGATGGCAAGATTCGCAGGAAGTCATGATGATTCAAGACTTCTAGTGAGAAACCCAAGAAACAGGAGAGCAGGTGTCCCATTTTGCCAAGGCTTCTGTACCAGCCCATTCCATTGGGGTGGTTCTGGGCTCACAGGCTTCTTGCCATGGCCAGTTCTCACATCTTCTCTTCTCCACTTCCAGGCCCCAGTGCATTGTCTTAACAGGGGGACCCATGACAAGACCTGCTCTCTTGGATATAACTCACGCCTTCACCAAGAACAGTGGCCTTTGCATCTGCTGTGAAGTCTTTGTGGTAAGAGCCACTTCATCCCCTGAAGGTGCTTTTTCCTCCCTGCTCACTTGTGTTCTTTTACATGAGCCTAACACATACACACAGTGATAGGAGAATGGCAAGGCAGTTTGGACAAGGACGCTTTTCCTTGATTCATATAGCAAGGACTAGCAAGGGCCCATGATCCTGAATTTAAATGAGTGGATAAAATGTGTTTCAGATTTCACAAGAGACCAACTAAAAGTGATAAATATTTCTAAATGATGGCCTTTGAGTCAAGAAAAAGAGAATTGGCTCAGAAATAAAATGAAAAGATTTGGGGTGATAACTGTCCCCAGAAATATGAAAGGATAGAATGAGCCAGAGAGCACTATTATATAGATTAACTGATGAGGAGAGAGCCAGACAGAATGGCCTTAAATGAAAGCAAGTAGAATTTAGATTAAATATTTGGGGCTTCCCTGGTGGCGCAGTGGTTGAGAGTCCGCCTGCCGATGCAGGGGACACGGGTTCATGCCCCGGTCCAGGAAGATCGCACATGCCGCGGAGCGGCTGGGCCCGTGAGCCATGGCCGCTGAGCCTGCGCGTCCGGAGCCTGTGCTCCGCAGCGGGAGAGGCCACAACAGTGAGAGGCCCGCGTACCGCAAAAAAAAAAAAAAAAAAAGTTAAGATTAAATATTTGGATAAACTTGACGACACTACAGATATCTAGGGAGTTAAACCAAGTTTTCCATGCCTTAGATAAATATTCAGAGCTGAATGAGTTCCTTTTTTGTTCAGGAAGTATGTGGTAGACTAATGATAACTTATTCATGGTTTTCCCAGGAGGTATTCAAAGTAGATGCTAGACATTTAACCATAATTATTGACCAATCATCAATCTATAAAGTGAGGAGAAAGCATTAAAATTATAACAAAATAATAAGTCTAAATTCTCCAAACCAGCTACTTCTACTTGTATTCGCAGTGTGCTCTCACGTGCTCTCTCTCTGTGTGTATGTCTCCCTGTTTCTCTCTCTCTCTCATGCTCACATACCACTCAAAATCCTCAACAGTGCCAGTGTATTATTATTGTACTTACCTATTCTTCAAAGTGTTTTCCTACAGTTTTTCTTATTTCAATCTACATAACAGTCTAGTGAGGCAGAGAGGAAAAGAAGCCCTGTTCTCACTATACTGATTAGAAAAGCGAGATTCAGGAAAATTAAATTATGCACAGGGTCACATGACAAGAAAGTGACAGAGCCAGCATATCGGTCCAAGTCAACCAATTGTGCTCTGTGTTACAGCATGAGGAGAAAGCCTTAGCAGACTTGTATCCCTGAGGGTGCTGTTAGAATCAGATACCACTCCCTAAACTTCCAATACTTGCCAGGGAATAGGGCTGTCAGGAGGCTACGTAACCCTGGGGCCAGACGACTGTGCAATGATGCAGGGGTTAATTCACCACATGTCATCATGACCAGCACTTAAACATCTTTTTACACTTGGCAATACTCTAAATGCAATATGAAGCAAGATGGTCATATTCTCTTTCCTCTAAGTGCTTATGTGATAGTAACTCAAACAATATAACTCAATGTAATAATCCCGTAGGCGGTAGAGGGAATCCTACTGACTACATAAGATTGACAGGTTAAGTAATGACCAACAGTGACTCCAGAGGATTTTTAAAAATCTTATCAAGCACCCTTCTCTTATCTTTGGTGCCCTGGATTAATGGATTTCATTTTGGCCAATAAAATACAGGAGCCAGTTTTGATGGAATAAGCAGTTTGGGGGGTTTTTCTTCTCTAGCAATTTAGAGAAAACTTAGTTTAGCAGGCAATAAAATATCTTTAGGACAGGAGAAATGAACTTGGAGTATAAACAGTCATATATTAGCAAGGGAGAAAAGGTCTTTTTATAGAGATGAGATATTACTTTAAATTAACCCTTTGCTGCTTTAACTGTAATAAAAAACAGTATGATTCTGGAATATCATTTCATGTGAAATAGGTACTTAGGTCTGTATCTCTAATGGCCCTGGTTGTTGGACATGTATATTGGACCACTTTATACATCACTGTGCTGGTCCCTCTGAGTAAGGCCCAAGAGCCTTGCTCCCAGGTGCTGAGGTTCTCTTGGGGACAGAAAATAGTTACTGTATCAGTTAATGACTTTCCAGTTAGCTACTCTCTGTGAGCTCCTGGGGCTGCAGATGCTGTCAGCATTTTTCAACTCCATGCTCAGTTGTCAATCATCTTTGCAAAGAAACAGATGGAAGGGGATGTAGTGGAAGTTGACCTACCATTAAATTTTTTTTCCCAAAAGCATAGTGGTTGGTGGTTAGGCCAACCTTGTGGCAAAGGTTAAACGGTAACAATGATGTTGAGAGATAACAATTTAATTTTTAACTCTAGGAAGCTCATGCTTATGGACTTTTGAGACACACAGTCAAGTTCTGAATCACTGTTTTGCCACCTATTAGCTGTGAGTCCCTTGGGCCCATAATTTATTCTCCCTATGCCTCAGTTTTCTCAGGTATAAAATGGGCATAATAATAATGATGATGATGATATGATGATAGCACCTACGTTTGTTACAGAGTTGTGAGAAATCTGTAAGATAAGCTTTCTAGTAGTCAGCTCAGTGTCTGTCAAATAGTAAATGCTCAATTAATTTTAGTTGCTACTGTTGATAGTTATTATTATGGTATATTTTCGATATACCACGGTTAACATTTTCATTCTGAAAATATATCCCCTTCAACAGAAACCTAAAACACCCTCTCTTAGAGAAACCAGGTCAAAACTTTGGATCTTGGACTCTTAGGTATCCAATGGCTTGATCAGGACAGAATAGTGAGATACGCACTCCCACCCAAATAATCACCGGACAGCAGGCTCTGTGCTCCATCCCTCTGGTGAACTCCAGTTACGTGAAGTGCTGACATGAAGTGCCATACACTACAAGGAAGAAGCAAGACTCAGAGCTCACTGGCATTTCGATGCTGGTGGGTAGACAGAAAACATATGCCCCCAGCTGCCATTTCCTGCAAAAAGGCATTTTTAAAGGACTAGACATTGTAGCCCTGGAAGCTGCTGAAGTTGAAATTAAGAATTATTCTTTTGCTGGGCCCCAAGCCCGCACTGTAGCCTTCCAACTATTCAACTAACTCTTACACTCACCCATCAGAGCCTCTTCCTACCTCTTGCCTTACTCTACTAAGCCTAAAGATTTCAAATGAGGGACCCCTCATCAGGGCAAATTGGGGGATACTTTTTAAGGAATCCAGCTTGGTAACTTAAAATAATGTCTATTCTTCTCCTGTAAATTACCTTATAATAAGTCAGTGATACACTTATATCCCAGAAGCCTTTATAGTCAACACATAATTTTCTTTTTCTTGTGTGCCTCACTCCTCTCACCATATGAAGACTACGAATAGGATTCCACCTTCTAGCACCCCTTCGCATTTCTGAGTATAGCCAAGTTCAGTGGGTTCAGCAACAGGCGAATATTAAGTCAAGGGTTGTGATCTCCACCAATTCTACCCTGTGTACCATGGCTTAAAAAACACTGTCTTTCTTTGTCAGTTAGTTTCCTCACTTATTCATAGTAGCTGGAGAGATAATAAAACCAATCATTGCAGATTACTTAGTTTGGACTTATGTACCCTTAATTCTTTGGGTACACTACATTCAGTTCTAAAAATATTACACTGTCAGCTCATCAAGTGAAAAGGCATCGTGCTTCAGCAGTCACTCACTCATATACTTCTCAGTTTTGCATTTAAAGGAAGGTTTTGTTTTTTTTTTTAATTAAAACAAATATACTTTAAAGGCGGAAAGGTGGCCCAATTGATCTGGGATTTAAAATGCCAATCAGATAAAGTCGTTATTGCCAGAAAATGCAACACTTACTTCTTTTCTAAATTTTGTCTTAAAACTGCAAAAGGCTTTCATGTTTACAGTGGCATGTTTTATTAAGTACATTGTGTTGTGTTGGCTGAAAAATAAAGATTTGTTTTTTAGATTGCTTCTATTTTTTATTTTGAAGCGTTAAGAAAAATATTAGATTGAATCATGTGAAATTTACATTTTTGGATGTCAAAAGCTGTTGAATATTGGCAATTTCATATGACGAAACTATAGTCAATAAAACAACACCCATATTCTACTTCTCCTAATTAACAACAGTTAGCATTTTTCTTAGATGTTTCCACTCACTTTTTAAATGAAATAAACCACTGCACATCAAGCTAAAGTCCCCTTTATAGCTGCTCAGCCCCAGGGATCTGTCTCCAAAGGCAATGTTATCTGAGTTTGACTGATTTTCTTCTAGTCATTTCACCTATGTGTACCAAGATGTAGATCTATTTTGATTAATGTTTTCCTACTCATTAATATTCTTTAAACCTTGATTGTCCTGAATAACTTTTGAAAAACTATTCAATAACCTTGAATAACCTTTGACCAGCTTCCTCATATAGATCCCCTTTTAACAAGATATCATCCTGTTACCCTTTCTCTCTCTCTCTCTCTTTTTTTTTGTTGGAAAATTTACAAAATATCTTAATAAAACCTAAAACTCTCTTTGAATTTGGAGAATCTCTTAAGAAAATTAGAAAATTCAGGTAAGACAACCAACTTTTAACTCTACGGCTTATGGAGGGCAGTTCAAGCATAGATAACCCAGGGAAAATAAAAATTTTCATTTTTTTTTCTATTGTCATCCTTCTTTTAATCTCAACTTTCACCTCCATCTAGAAGAAAATGCTTTTTTTAGATGAATTTATTCTCTTATAGTCATTAAGTCTCTGTCATGATGTTAACAAAATAATGACATGACAAAACATGGGAAGAATGAGGTGACCTATGACTGGGCACTAGGATGCATGGTGAGATAAAATATGCGCCAAATCAGAAAAGGAAAAATTTTTTTTCCCACAGTTCCAGCCAGAGAGGCAAGGAAAGCAAAGACAGAGCAATAAGACTCTTAACGTTTTAAAATATAAGAGTTGGAAGGAACACTGCATTTGGCCCAAATTCCTCTATTTGATCCCAATAATATTGGAAATCCTTTGCAAATTCTTTTTCATAATATTCATTTATTTGAAGTAGTGTCACGTCAGTTTCTTCTCCAGACTAAATAATTAGAATTCCTTTACCCCTTTCTCAATCGATGTCAAAGTTATAATACATACAAAAGTTTTAGAGCTTCTTTGTTCAAATCCTGAATTAATTTATATACTCATATTTTGGATCCTAACTGAGCTAATCTCTATAATATTTTAATTGGGTGGTTAAATTCATTTTTGTGACTATGACGTATTTGAATGTTCAATAATTATATTCCAGCGTGTCTTCCCTTTCTGTTAGTTTGCTTTTTCCATACTACATTTGTATTGTAGCCTTGCCTCACATTAATAAGTGTGCTACAAGGATATTATAATTGCTTTTAGCCAAGAGAGATTCTACGTGAAATATTTTTATGACGTCTCAATATGGCAAATTTAGGCATTAAAGTAAATCTCTCTGTCACAATTAATGTTTAATTTGGATTTTTGTAATACTAATAGATATATATTAGACTATATTTATTGAAATAAATGCCAGTTTCCCCAGGGGTTCAAAGTCATTGTGGTACAACTCAATATACTCATAGTCTGATACCTTTCCTAGCTGTTGGTTATTCTTCTATGTCATGGTTGTTGTTACCATTCAGCTTCGTTGAATAAAATATTTCTTCTTTCCTTTGCAGTTGATAGTGTCTAGGATGACCAAGAAGGACTAGTGGTTGAAATGCATTGACAGTTAGAACCCTGAGCAAAATTTGATCTATAATGACATGTTTCCTCAGGCTAGGTCTTCTGGTTTAATAACTATCCTTCCTATGACTTTACCTTCTCCATCTTCATTGGAGATTCTTATTTTTTAACTGTAATGTAAGTTATCCAAACTGTTTCGATATGTTGGTAAGTTCTAGAAAATATTCTGGTAAAAATAAGTACAAAAGGGCTTCCCTGGTGGCGCAGTGCTTGAGAGTCCACCTGCCGATGCAGGGGACACAGGTTCGTGCCCCGGTCCGGGAAGATCCCACATGACACGGAGCGGCTGGGCCCGTGAGCCATGGCCGCTGAGCCTGCGCGTCCGGAGCACAAAAAAGAATCTGACCCAATTTAAACAAAATGTTAAAATGGAAGTGACCCCAGAGAATACTAGTGTTGTATAATAGACATATAATATGTGCCACAAGTGTAATTAAAAATTTTCTAGTAGCCAATTAAAAAAAGTAAAAACAGGTAAATGCAATGCATCCAGATTATTATCATTTCAATATACAATCAGTATAAAAGTATTAATGAGATATTTCACATTCTTTTTTTCATACTAAGGCTTCAAAGTCCAGTGTATGTTTTACATTTCTAGTACCTCTCTGTATGGACTAGCCACATTTCAAATGCTCAATATCAACATGTGCATAAGGGCTAATCATACTGGACAGTGATGGCCTAGATAATTTTCTTATTGTTATAAATGTAGAGCCCACATTGAGAGAAAACAAATGGCATACCCAGGGTATCAGCTAGACAGTGCCAAGAGCCAGATCTAAACCCTACCCTCCAGCTCCCAGTTGAGCACTCTTTCAGCTCTGTTGTAGAACAGACACAGTGGTGGAATAAGGTCTGGGACTTCAACAAGATTGTGAAAACTCTTTTATTATAATAAAAATCAACTTTGGATGAGCACTTACTATATTCCAGACATCATACTAGGTAGTTTATCATGACTGCTTGAGATGACCTTGCAGGATAGCTATTTGATCCCTGTTTCCGGAATAACTTATCAAAGCTCAGACATCATTAACTACCTCCAAAGTGGCCAAACTTAGAAGCCAGTTCTGTCTGACCACAGAACCTGATATCTTTTTCATACACACCACGCCCTTTCTCTCCAGTCCAAGACCCTCTAAGACTACAACTCCAAGCATGATCTGAGGACGAGCAGCACCTGTGTCATCTGGGAGTCTGTTAGAAATGCAGAATCTTAAGCCCCATTCCAGTCCTGCTCACTGCCTTTCACCAAGATCTGAGGTGGTTAGTAAGAAATCTAAGACAATTCAGTAAAATACCAAATCTCTCTATGAATTGAAAGAACTTCCCAGAAAAATAGTACATTTGTACCTTTGTCAGGCACATGGTAGATAATCAGAAATACCTTTGGGATTGATTTGAAACATGCAAAGAATAGCGCTAGCTTGGACATTTAAGGAAGAAGAAACAGGAACAGAAATTTTAATTAAAATGAGTTTCCAGAACTCAAATCTTGGAATTATAAAATGCTTCACCTACCGCCGCAACACCTGCCTCCTTCTCTATTAATCTGTTCTTCCTATGCCATAGGTATGTGAATTTCTAATCCCACCAACTTCATTGAGTAGTGGGAAATGTTAATTCGAATAGGAGTATGTCAACATTACACAGGGAAAAGTGGTACAAAGGCGTCTTCACCATACACGAAAAGCAATGAATGGGCCTAACAGAATTGTCAAGATGTGGTAGTTCCTGCCAGGATTTGCAGCTCACCATATTTTGGCTCCCAAGAGTGCTGTCGCATTTCTTGAAACTGGGCTCTAGCTGAGATTTCCTTGGTGTTCCTAAATGTGGCTCTCGCTTTTGAGTCGAAGGTTGATTGTGAATTTATCCTGAACTTCTTCAATCACGTTTTCAGTATTTTTCTCACGTGCCATGATGCTCTCAGCTCTTTCTTTTGACATGAGGCAGTTAATTAAGTAGGTGCTAATACATCTAGACATTCTGCATGGAAACTGAAAACTGTGAGCAACCCAGGTCCTCTCCAGAAGGCTGAGTTTCTGTGAATCCTGTTTAGTGAGGTGTTTCCCCCTCTTTCCCATTTCTTAAGTCAATGGGGGCATTGCTGGCTATTTCTGTCCTTTAGAAAAGAACAGCAGCGTGATGTATAATACCAGGGCTTCTAACCAATGTTTGATTGTGTCATGCAGGGACCGCGCAAGCTGTGTGTTAAAGAGATGAACAGTGGCATGGCAAAAAAGCAGGCCTGGCTTATAAAAAACAAAATCAAGGCTTTTTATGCAGCAGTGGCAGCATATTGTTTCAGGGACGGTGTCCGAAGTCTCCTTCAGGTAAGGCTGGCATTGAGGGAATGAGTACAGAGGCAAAAGACAATTAGCACTCTGTTTTAATGAAGCTCCCAAATGGAATGGCTCCAGTTAGGCAGACTAGCATCAGAGATCAATGCAGATGGTTAAGGAATTCATTTTGAATTCCTGGGGATAGGCAAAGCTAAAACAGAAGCAGAGAGGTTCTATTACAATGAACTAGGAGTGATTCACTGGAAATGGAAAATGAGGTTGCCTTTGGCCAACAGCATATATTCTGTCCCCATACTTATTGAAATGCAAATTTGTTCTGATCGTTGACATTCAAGATCCTATTAAAACTTCAAACTATTTTTACATCTCATACTGAATATAGCAATGCTCAAGTCAGGCATTCTTTTCCTTTTTTCTTTTGCAAATGGTGTGAGGGCAGCTGCAAGACTGGACTAAATAAATTCCTGGTGATCCCAGGCATAAAATCTCCCTCTCCTCCTAAATTATTTCCAGAATGTTAAATAAAATGTAATAATATCTGTGGTTCAACACTAAAGCCCACAGTCCTTCCATCTTTTCTCCCTTATTCTTCCCTTTTTTCCTCACCTTCTATAATAAATATATAGAGTCTTTCCCTAGTTCCGATTTTCATAATTTAGAATGCCAGGGAATCCTAAAACAATCCAAGAGAAACTCAAAATTATAGGGCTTGGCTTTCTAATAATTTGGGCTTTAGTATGGTTGGAAAAACCTGATTCTACATATACTAAATGATGTATTTAGGTTTTAGAATTGCCACCTACAGGAGTGTCAAAATTCAGGATTGCTTCCAGGTAACTCTGATGGCTTATACAGGCAAGAGAGAAAACATGTTGATTAAATTGTAATATTTTGGAGAGTAAGAGTGTTTGATGCATTTCTGTCTGCAGAGAAACCATTTCTGAAAGATCCAGTACCCCCATGAGTCTCTTTTCATCTGTTTTTAATTTGATAAACCACAGAAATAGGTGTCATTGCAAGATGCTGATTTTTCTTTCAGTAGTGAGTTACTTTTCAGTAGCTCTTTGGTTAAATACGTTGGGAAGGTTACACATTTAATGTAAAATTATCATGTAAGATTAGTAAAATAATAAATTTCAACTAGGAATGAGAGGACAGACACAAAATAAGAAGAGGGAGTGAAAGGACATTGGTATGGAAAACAATTCATGTGCTAATCCAGAAGAAACTGTAAAAAATTTCGACAGTGCATAAAGCTTGTTCACCTGAATTTCTTCAAAGAAAAATGGCGGAGCACAGAGGGGTCATGACAGAAAGGGCAGGACAGAGTGGCATTAAAGGGAAGCACCGACAACTACAGCATTTTGAATAAAGAAATTATGGCATGAATGACCACATCCCCAAACTGCAGTCATGGAAAAGACTACATCTATACTGCCGTGCACCAGCCAGGGGCCAGATGACAGCTCTAAGAGGAGCTGTTCTGCTACCTGTACATTTCTAAGGGCAATACACCAAATGTGGTGGAGGCAAAGTTTATTTCAGGAACCCTCCATCAATGCCAATCTCTTTCCACTTGCTACTGTCCCCTCTAAAATACCCCCCCCGATCATTTGTTTCACTCTTCCCATAACCCAGAATATCCTTCCTTCACTTCCACTGCTCTCCTTACCTTTACTTGTCAACATCTAACCAACCTGCAAGATCCAAAACAAATGCCACCTCTCCCATGAAACCATTCATGAATCCTTAGCTGGAATTTAAATTTTCTTCCTTTATGCTTCCATATGATTTCCTACTGCATTTGCACTTGAATTATAATTATTATATATCTCATCACCTCAACCTTATTCTAAGCTCCTTCAGGCCCAAGAATATGCCTCACTACTCTCTCACAGCACCTAACACAGCACTTTGCAATTAATAGGTGTTCAGTAATATTGCCGGATTGAATTTAATTAACTGGAAGCCGTATTCTGTCATCTAATGGGGGGAATGAAACTTCTGATATGGAAGATGGCTATTCATGATACCGTCATGTAAGAGATTTAGGTTCTGGAAACATAGTTCAGTTATTCTTCAATAAATAATGTAAGTAGAAGTTTCAGCGATCCTTCTGTATAAGAATTTTCCAAACATGGATTTTATTGCTAATGACATTATGGATATAGCAGGTGGAAATGAGCTTTGAACCACGAAGTTACAACACGCATGCCAACAGATAAGCCGATCCTCACTTGACTTTAAATTATTGAACCATTTTAATGAGTGTATCAGAAGAAATGCAAATGACTGCTAATTTAGAAAAGCTTCATTTCTGTCATCTAAAATCCATTTATGGCTGAGATGATTTAGAACTAATCTTTCTATTTTATGCTTGAGTACAGGCATGAAGGACATGCACTAAAATGTAATCTAATCTTCAGAACATTACTTCAGTGCTCTTTTGGACATTCTTTTTCACTTGCAGTGGTAGTTTCCTGGCCTGGTAAGGATTGCCCATGTGTTTATCTCCTCTGTTTAGGCCTCAGGCTTAGGAAGAATGAAACCAAACACTCTGGTGATTGGATACAAAAAAAACTGGAGGAAGGCTCCCCTGACAGAGATTGAAAACTACGTGGGAATCATACAGTAAGTGATGGCTTTCAAGACGTGCTCTTGTTTATAAAGCACTAACCAGGGCAGTACATAACTGACACTGTTGTACAGAATAAATTGCCTGAGAAGAAGACATTCCCCTGGTACTCTGAATTCTTTACCAAAGTGAGAAAACACTGCCAATATAATAGAACTTGAGGGGATCACAGCATCAGAGGAGGCAGGGTTGGGGAAATTTGGTGTCAAAGAAAAAGGTAAATATTAAGAGTTACAATCTTAAAACCTATTTATAAGAGCAAAAGCAAAGGACAGCTAGGTAAGGAAGGAACTGTTCTTTCAAAACACTTGGATCTTTGGTTGACTGGTGTGCTCAATTCAGTCGTTGTCTTATCCTGAGCCTTGGATAATGAGTTCACTACCCCAGAGCCTCAGCTCTCCCTTCGCTGACGTAGCAGTGTTGGTTTATAGACAAAAAGTGAGTTTTAAAAGGTATGTGACATCTAATATCTAAAAATTGAAGAAGTCTTGGGAAAGGGATAATAATGAGAATCCTTAAAAGACTAGCCAGTGCCAGGCTAATGTCCTTAACGTGAATTATCCCACTAAATTCTCACAAGAAGCGTTTGAAGTAAGTACTTCAAATGGGAAGTACTGTTCCCATTTTTAAAGTAGACATTAAAAATTAAGTAAAATGCAGAAAATGACAGAGTTTTATAAGTGACAAAGCTGGAATTCTGACCCAGGACCAACTGAATTCAAAGTTTAAACTAATGATCCCAATGCTATGCGACCTCCAAAAGTATATAAATACACAAAGTATTACCTGGCTTGGTTCCTTCTTTTGAGTAAGAGAAAACAAATTCTACACATACAGAGAAGCTCAGGGTGTCCTCAGTGACCATTCTAGAAAATTGAGCCTTTCTTCCAGGCCTGAACATACTTAACCAGCTTTGTCTCAAGGGGGGCAATGTTAGCTACCCCTAACAGCCGTCTTTTGTGTCAACAGCTCTGAAAATGGAAGATTTCCTCTGTCTGGGTTCTGACTTCGCTCTGATTTCATACCACAGGGCGGAGAACGTGCTGAGAGGTCTGGCTGCACTTAAAAGTCCATAATACACAGGAAAGAAATCCTCATCCCTGCAAAGCGAGCATATACACAGTGCTCCTTATACTAGGATCTGTCCTCCGGCCCCTGCTAGAATGAGCATCACATTTACCATTATTTGGGGGAGATTTAGGGAACATAACAAAAGTATTCTAATATTAGTCCTATCAAAAAGAAGCATAAGAAAATAATTTTCATCTTCTGAAATTATATGCATTACTGACCAAACAAACATTCACTTAACAGTCCTCTTAACCTGGGGAACCCATGTATTAAATGTATCCTCCTGAATTGTGTTCCCTAAACATATAAAGGCTGGATGCCACGTGCTGCTATCTGGCTCCTGCTGGTGCTCTAAGTTCAGTAGGTTAAGGCTAAACCAGGTGATCAGGGACAGAATTTTGCCAGGCTTAGCAAACAGCATTTTGACATATTTTAAATCACAGTCAGTTGCCGACTAGACATTCTTAGAAATGGATTAGATCCACACTCTGTCATCCAGATTCTTCAGTAAAATGTTGTCCTCACCTTTGGGAACAAAAAAAGGGTGGAGCAAATAGGAAGAAATACGTGAATCTTCAGTCAAAGAGTCCATCAGTTGATACAAAATTATTTGAGTTCGTCTTCCAAACTCCCTACCATCCAAAACATTCTAAAAATTCAAAGGACCAAAATAATCAAACCCAGTAATATCAAGCTGAGGAGACTTCTGGCGTTTGTACCAAATTAATGATTGGTCTTCTTGGTAATAAAGTTCAGTGTTAAGGTGGCTCAAATTTGTAATAGTATAAAACTTAGCTGGTTTGGTGAAGCTAAATGACTTTATTACGACAGCACTGGGGTCAGTACAGAAGGAAGACAATCAGACATCCATGTTGTATTTCCCTTTCTAACTTTTTCGTTCTGTTCTGTTTTATGATGGAAAGCACAGCATTAGTATTAACATAAAGGGGTAGCACTACAATAGTACAATATTTTACCATTTTTCTTTGACTAAAAGATTTTAAATTTCTGTAATATTAAGTATGGTTTAATTTTAATTAAAATAATTGTATTAGTTTCCATGGGCTGCCATTAAAAATTACCTCAAACTTAATGACTTAAAACACAAATGTGTTAGCTTACAAATACATAGGTTAAAAGTCTGAGACTCAGAAAGAGAAAGACAAATACCATATGATATCACCTATATGTGGAATCTAAAATATGATACAAATGAATGTATTTACAAAACAGACAGACTCATGGACTTAGAAAACAAACTTAGGTTTACCAAAGGGGAAAGGGGGTGAGGGAGGGATAAATTAGGAGTTTGGTACTAGTAGATACAAACTACTATCTATAAAATAGATAAACAACAAGGTCCTGCTGGATAGCACAGGGAACTATATTCAGTATCCGCTAATAAACCATAATAGAAAAGAATATGAAAAAGAATATATATATATATATAACTGAATCACTTTGCTGTACACCAGAAACAAATAAAGCATCGTAAATCAACTATACTTCAATTTTAAAAAAAAGCTCAGACACTAACTTCCTGAGCTGGAATCAAGGTGTGGGCTGAGCTGTTTTCCCTTCTGGAGGCTCTAAGAGAGAATTCCTGGGCTTGCCTTTTCTAGGTTCTAGAGGCTGCCCACTGCTCATGGCCCCTGCCTCCATCTGCAAAGCTCTTGACGGGTCAAGTCCTTCTCACACCACATTATTCTGACCTCCTCTTCTGCCTCCCAATTTCACTTTTAAGGACCCTTGTGATTACACTGGGCCCATCCACATTATCCAGGATAGTCTCCCCATCTCATGGTCCCTAACCTAATCACACCTGCAAAGTCCTTTTTGCCATGTAAAGTAACATATTCATAGGTTCCAGGGATTAGAATGTGGATGCCTTTGGGGATCCACAATTATTCTGCCTAACGCAGAACCCAGATATTTTTTGTGGAACACACTATTTTTTATAATCAAGGACACCTCAAACAAGATTTATCTAAAATTTACCTTGTGGCACTTTTGCTAGAAGGGATCTATTTTTTTAAGTGAAGTTCACTTACGGTTCAATTTTTGAATGGATATTCATACTATACTGAACTTATATCACTATTTGAAAATTCAGGTCTACTTTGGCTAGAGACTTGTTTGCATATCGTGAGGCAATCACAAACTGCACTGTTTCTGGGAAAGGACAACCAAATGGAAGGGTTCCTTGGGCTTCGTTCAATCCATAAACGATTGAACAAAGGAACTCCCAAGGAGAATATTTCAAATGAACTCAAAGTACTAATCAGTTTGCCCAATACTTAAGGGCAAAGAAAAAATGTTCTGCGAGAACACAGTTAAAAGAGCAAGGCTTTCTTTCCCTCCTAGATAATCTAATTCCATTGGGTTGGGTTTAGAGAAGGCACAACTGCCCATTTCAACAGGATAGAGTTGCCATGAAAAAGAGTTGCTTTAAATGGTCTCTCCAAAGTCAATGATAATAGTTCCCTAGAGGAACTGGAGACATTTTTAACTGGGAACTTGATGTCCAAAACGTTGGAGGATTCCTCCTCAATGGGTAAGAGGTTTGACTGATAATTTCAAAGGCTCTGTGCAGCCTTGAAACTTCTGTTCTAAATATTTCAGCTATGGTTTTGTTTACATTAGAAAAGAATCAAGTATTTTAAATAATCAAAATTCTAATCTTAATCAAAATTCTAGTTGACAGTATTGTTTGAATAAGAGTTAGTTATCTTTACTCAAAATACATTTTTAAAAGACATCAAGGGAAAACAAACAGAAAAGGCTATCAGCTCCTGGCTATGTTTGAAGGTGAATTTTTGGAGTTTAATTACACTAAAATCCTAGAAGCAAGTTCAGTATTAGCCCAAATCTTGAGGATTAAAGGAGTCATTTAAATCACTAACCATTTTGCTTCCACTTTCAGTGATGCGTTTGATTTTGAGATTGGTGTTGTCATAGTCAGAATCAGCCAAGGGTTTGACATCTCCCAGGTTCTTCAGGTGCAAGGTATGTATTTTCTTTATTCAACCAATAGGTATTCATTCAGCACCTACTCCCTGCCTGGCATTGTTCTAGGTTCTGGGGATAGCACAGTACCCAATACAGACAAAACCCCCAACAGTGCAGCTCACGTTCTTGTGCTGACACGAGGTGTGTACACTTTCCCCGTGTTTTCCTCATTGCTAATGCAAGTGGCCTTTGTCCTGCTAACCAAAAATACAGAATAATTCAGGGAAGATATCATTTAATCTTCTCGTCACAAAACCACAAAGCTAGCATCACTAAAAATAAATACCTTTGGTAAAATAAACTGCCAAATTGATTTTTGCAAGATGTTTCAGAAAATGAAGATTCTTTCCTCAGAAAACCATGTATTTTGTTTTTAAGAGTCTATGATCTGGTTTGTAGCTAACATGGAAATGAGCCTGAATGTATCATGCTGTGAATCACCAATCTAAGTCAGAGGCCGAAACGCTAATTCAGTTTAGTGATTCTGCTTTTTTCCCTGTAGAGGATTCCATATATTACTTGTTTAGTCTTAGAGTTTAAACACATCCTCTCGTGTATGGAGTGAAGGACACACCTAAAGAGTCGCTAAAATATTAAGATAGAACTCTAATCCATTACTTATCTCTTTAGCTAAACTTCACAATAGAGTCCACTGACAACAGGACACTAAAACAGAAGGTACCTCTTGTGTACCAGGCATGGTGTATATGTCAGTGCTGGGTAGACTAAGACTAATAAGAGTCTGTAATCTCAAGACACTCACAGCCCCGTGATGAAAATGGGTGTACTGTTAGTGTGATAATAGGGTATTATGGGAAAGAGAAAAGGGGCACTTAACTCCAAAAGGCTTCCTGGAGGAAATTACCTTTGATTTTAGATCTAGTGGATGAGAAGGAGTTAACCAGGCAATGTTGGGAGAGAAAAAAATGAGAGTTTGATCAACAGCATTCCTGGCAAAGAGGAGAGCATTAGCAAAAATGTGAAGACACAGGAATATGGAGGAATGGGGTATATGGGCAACCGAAAGCAGATTTGTGTAACTGAAGTGAAAAGTATGGGGCTTCCCTGGTGGCGCAGTGGTTAAGAATCCGCCTGCCAATGCAGGGGACACAGGTTCCAGCCCTGGTCCGGGAAGCCCCCTTAAAAAAAAAAAAAAAGTATGAAGCAGACAATAGTGAAACGAAGCTGCTGATATAAGATCCTGAAAAAGGCTCATCTGTCATATTAAAAATTGTGGGCCATATTCTATAGACAATGAGGAACTGCTGAAGAGATTTAAGTGAGGGAATAATATGGTGAAATTTGAGTTTTAGAGCTCATACTCGTTCAGTTACATGAGGCACGGACGTGAAGAGGACTAGAATAGAGACAGAAACACAAGCCAAAAAGATTTTTGTAATAATCAAAGCCAGAGAAGGTGACAGCCTGGACTAGAGCAGCCTCTCTCAGGGGATGGAGAAAAAAGGACAGAGTACTTTGGAGGTACAAAGAGCAGCATTTTAGGTTTGATAGGATGTGTGGGATATGGGAGAGGGAGGAGTGAAAAAATATTCCTTGGCTGACAATGAACGGTGGTGCTACCAATGGAAATGGGAAACACAAGAGGAAGAGCAGGTTTAATGAAGAGATGTCTGGTTCAGTTTTAAACAAGGTCCTGTGGGAAATCCTACCAGAACTGTCCAATAGGCATTTAGACAGTCCTGGTCTTGAAGGAGAAATCTGAGCTGGAGATGTCGATTTAGATGTTTTGGGTCAAACTGTGTCCTCCAGAATTCGTATGTTGTGGTCCTAACCTCAGAATGTGACTGTATTTAGAGACAGGGCCTTTAAAGAAGTAAGTAAGGTAAAATGAGATCAGTAGGTTTGGTCCTAATCCCATATGAATGGAGTCCTTATGAAAAGAGGAGACAGGACACAGACAAGCACAGAGGAAAGATCATGTGAAGACAAAGGGAGAAGATGGCTATCTACAAACCAAGGAGAGAGGCCTCAGAATGAAACCAACCCTGCCAACACCTTGACATTGGACTTCTAGTCTCCAGAACTGCAAGAAAATAAATTTCGGTTGTGTTCTGTCCAGTCTATGGTATGTGTTATGACAGCCCCACCAAAATTAATACAAGAGACATCATAATTAAGGTGAAAATTGAAACTGTGACACTGGAAAATATAACCCCCAAAGTGTGTATAGTCAAGAGCCCCAAGGCACAGGAAAAGGGTCCCCAAGGAGGAGCAGGGAAGGGGTGGCCAGAAAAGTAAAGGAACCAGGAGTCTGTGTTGTCATGGAAGTCTTGGGAGCAGAGTGCTCAGAATGACAAGAATCATCAGCATTGTCAAATACAGCAAAAAATACCAGTAAAAGTGCAAATGAAATATAATTGACATGGCACAGATAATCTTAGAACAATTTCTGTAGAGCAGTGTTGACAGAATCCTGAATGCAGCAGGTTAAGGAGAGAATATGCGATGATGAGGCAGAGAATGTGGATGTGGCCCACCATATGAGAAGTCTGGAAGTTGAGGAGAGGAATGAGTTTGAGGAGGGTTACTACAGGGAGACCTATAGACCTTAGAATGGGAGAAAGGCTTGTTTCCAGGCTGAAAAAGATGGGCTCAAGAGTAGGAGGGATTGAAGATGAGGGTAAAGAAAGATGACTATGGAGTAAGGTCCTGGAGGAACAGGAAGAATCCAGGGAAGGGCATGAATGCAAGAGTTGGCCTAACACAGAAGAAAAATACTTCATCTTCTAAAATTAGAGTAGAGAGGGGAGGACTGATGAAGAGGTATGTGGATTTGTAAGAGTGGTAAATTGAGGAAGATCATGCACAATAGTTTCAATTCTATGTAGCTGGAGCAATTTTGCTAGCTGTCCACTTTTTCTCTAGCGACACTTGGTCTCCAGGGTAAAGAGGACCAGGGTTTCGCCAGATAGGTTCACAGAAAGGAAAAGCCTGCAAGAGATTTGAGAGTGCAGGTGCCTAATGGGTTCAGATTCTATTTGGGCATTTCACGATTGTCTCCATCCTAACAGAAGGGAACATGAGTGAATTAGGTGAATTTTTTGATGCAACAATTCTTTTCTTGCAAGGGAAGAGAAGAAAGAAGAAGAAATTAGAAATCAAGCACTTGTAAACGATGGAGAACCACTATCTGATATGTATGCTCTATGATTTTGTATGAAGAGCTTTAAAAAATAAAACTGAGAGTAGAGTCCATCCTATGCAAAATTGCAATATAAAGGTTATCTTTGGTGCCTTCAGCCTTCCTTTCTTATGCCCCTTTTCTTTTTCATGGACCCTTTATATCTCCAGGTCAGATATACTAATTCTACATGGTGTTCATGATTCATTTATACTCCTTCCTAGTAGAACTTCATACACTGTAGCAACAGTAGCTCAAATTTTTGAGCACTTATTATGTGCCATGTGTTATGCTTCATGTTCACATGTAACAGTTATCATCCCAACTGCCCTATAAGGAAAATACAATCGTCCCCATTTTACAGCTAATAAAATTGAGGCTTCCCTAAGATTCACAGTGCTAGTAATTAGTAGAGCTAATATTCAAACCTATGTCTATTTGAAGCCTCTATTCTACCTTTCTAAAAGGAGAGCTAGAGAGGAAATGACTTACATAATGAGAAGCAGTGGTAAAATCTGAGAGATGGGAATGGAACAAGGCTATTCCTTCAAAAACGCAGCATACAGGCTGCCTGACTGTGGTAAGACAGACATGATGTTGAGGACAATCACAAGAACCTAATAGGAAGAGACCTGTTCTGTTAACCTTCTACATTTTACTTTAATTTTTCGGCCTTTTGTGCTGCACTGTTTTTCCATCTAAAAAAATGAGAATGCAAAATACAATTTGTATTAAATTATACATTTGCATTTGTTTTGTATGTTGATCTCTTCAAGCTGACAGATGTGATGTAGCTCCCACCCCTCGCTGCTCCATCTGCCAAAATGCACCGTCAATTTAGTTCTATAAAGCAATACAGCAAGCAAATTCTGCATGTTTCTGAAAGAATCCTGGCAGTGAACTGCATCCCCTTCTAATTTCCCAAGGGATGTATCTAATTTATATCAACTTTGATGTTTGAAATATTTTTGCTTCTTAGTCAACAAAGGAAAATGCAGTAGGATGCTAATAAAATAATTATAAGTACCAATTATCTAGAGTAAATGAAAAAACAGCGTTACACAAATACATGAACATGCAGAAAAACAACAGCATAATGATAGAAATTAACTTTACCCCACATTTCCATGCATTGTTTTGAAGTGAAGTTACGTAATTTATGACACAACCCTCATGTTAGATTTTGAATTGGAAGAAATAAGCTTGCATTTCATTGTATTATGCTGTAATATAGGGCTTAATAAGAGCCTGATAAATCTTAAGTATTGCATTACAATATGTTAATGATAATCATCATAGCTTTTCCAAAACAGACACCACAGTGTCATCACAGATTATAATTTAAAGGAAATATTAGCAATTCAGAGTGCCCATATACTGTAGTTAATAAAGCAGTGAATAGAAATCAACTTTATAGGTAATTTACCAGCTAATGACAATTATTTCTATACTGTGTCTCAGGCTTATGTGAGGAGAATAACTTTTTATGTAAATAAGATTGATGCTCATAGCATTATTACTTGTATAGTGCAGCAACTCATCCAGTACTGATGGCTGATAGTTTCTCTTAAGAAATCAATTTATCGCCTGACAACACGAAAAAAATGCAGTATTTCATATTGTTCACTTCCCACGGGTATTTAGCAAGTTTGCCAACTACAACATAGAGTCCAAATTGTACTGGTAGGAAATAACGTGATGAAACGTGATTTGCAATATACTGCGGTCAAGTGTTCCATGTAAGTACTGCACGATTTATGACCATCTCAGAGCAGGAGGGTTCTGCTGTGTCTGACAGAGTGGCTTAGCAAAATAAAGACAGATGGCAGTGTAGTAAATAATTACTTGATTGGAAGGCAACCACTGCAGGATTCCTTCCTGCCTTCAATTCAACTAGACTTCACCTGGGGTACAGCACATTGATTCATGTAAGCATTTACAGCTTTGAGCTCATTGATCAAGAAAGAATCATAATTTCATAATTAATAAAGAAAAAGGATGCTGTGAAGTTGGAGGATACGCGATTCCTCAGTGGGTTCCCCTGCTCTCTCTTTTGTTGTCAGATATTTGACTATTCTCTATCTTTCAGATTCAGACTGAACTGCAATGTGTAGACTCCTGCCTATTTCTAAAAGACATTGCTAAAAAAAGAAAAAAAAAAAAGACTGGAAATAGACCATTTGAGGCAATCTTGACAACTAAACTGAATTTCAAAATACTCACTCCAGTTGGTTACCATGCAATCAGTTTATAAAGGACTAGAAAGTAAACTACTGTTCAAGTGGTTTTGGCATTTGCATGAGGATACAGCTTGGGATTCACTCTTTGTTTTTCCTATGAGAACTGTTTTGGGGAACGTATGAAGACTCAGAAACTCACTCTCAACTGATAGATCGTAAAAGTCTAAGCTTTTTCCTTCCATCATTAGAACCTCTGGGATCCTCCTAATCTTGGCATGAGAGAAGGGCAGGCTTTTACTCTCTCTCCCTAGCTATGTGGCTTTGTAAATGTGATATAACATGAAACTAATATGCAAGATTCAGAGTCCCACCAGATGCCCAGGTGGTGGCCCTTTCCAGGGTAAGGAGCCCTTTCCTTGCTGCTCATTCTTCAGATTAATCCCACCTGTCCTACCTTCTGTCCCATTCCAGCCTGGTTTGTACCATCAGCTGCTATCGGCCCCTCTTTTTATAACTCTGTATATAGCGTTAACTCTACTTCTTTCAAACGTTGTCTTTTGTACCAACCCCCCTTACATACACACATACTGTACACACTCCCACCCCGACAACAGTTCACATGTTTTTCTTCCTTTATAGAGATAATGCCGTCAAATGTTTTGAACTGTACTGAACAGAACTGAGCTGTTCTTTTATTCCAACAAACTATTCTTGAGTGATTATGGCGGTGAGCACTAGCAAGGCAGGGGCACAACTAAGAATGTGAGAGGGAGTCTGGGAAGCCTAAGCATGGGTTTTGGAGTCAGACAGGCCTGGGTTCAGACTCAGCTATCCAAATGGGAATAATTATAGTACCTACCTCACAGATTTGTTGCTTGGATTAAAGGATATGATGGCTGCAAAGTATCTGGAATTGTACTTCCCACAAAATAAACTTTCAGTAAATGGTGGTAATGAAATATGACATAAGCTACCCTCCAGGAGTTTGCAGACTAGTGGGGTTATAATAGACGTGTATCTTAAAACTCTATTCTATGTCACATAGTTATAGTTAGTGGAATAAAGGTTGAGGAAGAATATTATGGAAATATGGAGTATTACAGAAATTTCTCTGACAGAAATTTGAGGATGGTTTTTTCAAAAAAATGCATACTGGGTATTTTTTCAATAGACAGATATTGGCAGTCAGAGCATATCACTGATGAACGACGGTAGAAGGAAGAACACTAGAATTGGAAACAGAAGACCTGAGCCACTAGCTATGCAACCTTGGACAAATCGCTTGAATAGTGTGAACCCAAGTTTCCTTCACAGCAAAATGGGGAGAATGAGGAGAATGCTACTAGCTCTGCCTGCATCCCAGTATTGGTGCTGGGATGAAATAAAATACTATTGGAAAGGGCACTGTGAATCCTGAACATCACAGTGTATGGTGGTGGTGGTGGAAACAGTAAAGAAATGAGTAGTTTTCAGTCAGCCTCGTGGAAATCGGTTTACATCTATCTATTCCTACTCCCTTGCTTTATGTCTCCTGTGATTAATGGTACACTTTCGCAAGTCAGCTAGCCAGTACTCCAGTTGAAAGAAATGTTTGGACAAAGTCTACTCGTGATTTCGCATGCAAACAGAGGCAAACAGTAGGCCAGACAGATTAATTCAGGAGAACAGATAATCAAAATGTCACTTCTACCTAGCACTGAAAAGAGAAAAGGAGGGAGTGCACAGAAGGAGGCCTTAGATCATCTACAAAGTGAATAATTAAGAATTAACTTTAATAAGAATTTGCAAAATCACTGTGAGTGGTCATACCACTGTGTGGATCTGAAAGTCCAAGATGTCCAAGCAGGCAGATTTTAGCCTTTAGAATTGACTCTGTCACCCTCTGTCTCTGTCGTCTTTGAGGGAACTGCTGAATCTGACTCATTCACACAAAGTCTAGTTTTGTCTCTCAGGCCTGGGATTTCGCAGTTTGCTCTGTCCAGGATAGGCTTTGTATATACCTTTGAGCAAATTATTGGAGCAGCTCCCGGTTCACTCAGCCAGCTGAATCCTTACAAAGGAGGATTTATTTACTTTTCCTCCTTTGTCCAAATTAGAGGACAAAGAACATGGCAAGTAGTGGCTAATCGCAGGGTATGCTGGAGCCTGCTACAAAAAGAAAAGTAAGAGAACCCCCTCCCCAGTGTAACCCTTGCAGTTGCCCCCAAAGCAGCTCACAGATACGTGCTTTCCAGATGACTGCAGAGAACAGGTTACCCCATAGCTGACCCCTGCAACAACCCACAGAATGGGTAATAGCTAGTGACCCATCACCCAGGACAGTGATGCTGCTTTTCTGGGGCAGCCTGTCATATGTACCCATATCCTTAGAGTCTTCTCTTTAAAATGACAATTTTGAGGGGACCATAGTTTTGGGGAATTAACTTGGCATTACACCATGTGCCTGAGTGTTTAGGTTCATCTGAGGATAAAGAGTTGGAAGTTAATAAAAACAACCCTGAAATAATAGCAATAAGCCAACAGCAGAAGGTCTTTATAGAGGAGAGCGTACAGAACTTGGAGTCAAGCAGACTTCTTTGCACTGGAACCCTGTTATTTGCTGGGCGACATCAGACAAATTACGTAAACTTTCTGAGCCTCAGTTTCTTCATCTACAAAATGAGGATAATAATAGTAACTTTCTCAGAGTTTTTTGGGAATGAATAATATGCAGCACAGTCCCTGGCACCCAAGAGTGTAAAATAAATATTAAATTCTAAAATAACTCCCAGCCTTCTCAAAATACTTGATCTGCTTTGCATGACTAAGCCGATTTCCAGAAGTTGCATCAATACACTGCCTATAGAAATGTACTCATTGCTTTGTTCTCTAAGGAGCAACAAAGCACTGTTCAGGAGCTGTTTATTCTTTTTGCAAAGCTAGGAGGGTGGGAAAGGCAAGGCACTCTATTCTATGTCACATAGTTATAGTTAGTGGAATAAAGGTTGAGGAAAAATATTATGGAAATATGGAGTATTACAGAAATTTCACAGAATCCATTTCACAGATAGGAAATCAGAGGCATAGGAAAAGTAAATGACTTGCCCAATGTCACATAAAGCCAGGAGCAGAGCTGTAATTGGTTATGACCCCCAGTGCAAAGCAGCTTGTGTTCACCTTTTGAAAGTCAGGGGTAAGCAACTCTAAGCTTTAATACCACCTATCTGATTTCTTAGATTTTCTATAGCTGCTTGCTGGTCTTGAGAACCTTTGAAGCTTTGGGGAAATCACATGGGTGATTTGACCTTAAGTCTTATGCCACTGGGAAAAGATTAATTGCTAGCAACTGGAAAGGGGCCAGACAATTCTGTGTAGCTGAATAACAGCACCATCTAGGGATGTGACTGTCCTGACAGATTTAGTTAGTACAAAATTGATAAATCTAGAGTTTGTATAGCTTCACTTCCCAGATAGATATAAGGCAACAGGCTCCGAGGGTTGACATTTACAGTAGCCCTACCAGTGTTTCGTAACACTGAATCTAGGTTTTCTACTCTCTTCCTCGGAACCTGGCTCATTTTCTAAGGCTCTGTCTTTAGTAGGCAAGAAGATGAGGGAATCTGACAAGAGTGCCACCTTACGACTGTAAGCAAGAATGCCCATCATTCTTTAACACAGCCATATGATTGCCTTTAAAGTCTTATTTATTTACCCTGATTCAGTGCAGGTTAAGGTCAGAGAGGGATGCAATGATTACATAGCAGCTAGGAATTTTCCGTCATAATCAGACTCCAAAAAAGATAAAAGGCAGCTACATGCAACATAAAAGCTTGGATAGTAGGTCTAAACCCTGGACAGGACATTTTACACAGCTTGACTCTTATTACAGACTCCAGTGTCATGAGGCCCTTTTTAGCAATGTGGACTCCGACAGGCACACAGAAACCTCAGCTTTTCTTTCTTTTGCTTTGGTCACTCACTCCAGAAAGTATCTTTGCTTCTTGGAAAGAACTGTTGGTGGTGGATATTTTTCACTGTAATTTGTATTTGGAGCCCACAGGGTTTATTATTAGATATGGTTCTCTTTCCTTAATTCTTGTTCTCTAGTTTTATGTTTCAATTCAGGAGGCATTGCTCTGTGCCTGATATACACCCAGTATACTTCTGTAATTTTTGTCACTCCCAGTTGTAAAATATCTAGCCCAGTAGCTTAGGTCAGTAAATCAGTAGCTTTCAGTGTACAAGATCTTATTACAGTGTATCTGGTATTTTGTGTTGCCAGTAGTAAATAAAGATGGCATTAAACAGCCCCCTTTGCCCTCACACATAAAAAACCCAGTGTCTTCATGTATTATAACAACACATAGAGTCATTTTTCTGAGCTAGTCGTTACTTTCTGAATACAATTTAGTGATATGTTATTTTAATAATCATTCAGAAAAATCATATATGTATAAATAATCATTTAATTGCATAGACACCATTTTTAATATTAAAATCGTTAATAAGATTTTTCCTAGAAACTTTCCTGCTCTGAGCAGAGTAAGTGATTTTGTCTTCTTTCATCAGATGAATTAGAGAAATTAGAACAGGAGAGACTGGCTTTGGAAGCCACTATCAAAGATAATGAATGCGAAGAAGAAAGTGGAGGCCTCCGAGGCTTGTTTAAAAAAGCTGGCAAGCTGAACATTACTAAGCCAACTCCCAAAAAAGGTAAGTGCTTTTAAAATTTACAGGAAAGATTACAAGACGAGCCACGACTTGCGTGTATATGGGTGTCAGTAGTGAGCATCTAAAACGTTGGGGACATTGAGTGTAGGTAAGGGCTGAAAGATATTTCCGTAAGAGAAGATAGTATGGCTGGGCTTCCCTGGTGGCACAGTGGTTGCAAGTCCGCCTGCCGATGCAGGGGACACGGGTTCGTGCCCCGGTCCAGGAAGATCCCACATGCCGCAGAGCGGCTGGGCCCGTGAGCCATGGCCGCTGAGCCTGCGCGTCCGGAGCCTGTGCTCCGCAATGGGAGAGGCCACAATAGTGAGAGGCCCGCGTACCGCAAAAAAAAAAGATAAGGTAGTATGGCTAAAAGGTAGAAGCTACTGTAACTTATCAACAACATTCACCCCTTTGTACCATCTTACTGTAAAAACTTTGTTTTAAAATAATATTTGGTTTGGGAGTCATACAGTGCTTAAGCAGATGGAACGTCATAAAACAGAAAATTCTTAGTTAAGATGTAAAGGGGATAGAAATTTGTGACCCAGCCCCCAAACTGGTTTATCTACACCCACACACCTCACACACACCTTGCAGACATTTCAGGAGATTGAAAGTCGACTGGTACAGGTAAATAAGGGATCCAGATAGAATTCTAATTTCAAAAATGCATCTCTATCACAAACCAGAATTCCGGACTTGGAACTTCATTGACACTAATTACCTGCAGATTTTGGCTGAATGGTACACTTATCTCTGAATGTTCAGTATACATCCCAGAAATGGAGGACCACAGAATGAGACCTTGTTATAAGTTTAATAAACAGGTGATTCAAATAACTGATTTTTTTGAAAATTGCTTTCTTTCCAGAAACACTGCCGGTTTGAGTTTAATGAGGTCCACAGCGACCTCTGCTGGTAGAAAATTAGAATGTTAACATTTCTTTCTTTCATGCACAAATAATCCTATATAGTTACTGAAGTCATTCACTGGTGTTGCGCCCAGGAAAGATCATTTCTCTGGCAGGGTCTCCAAGTCAAGTAGCAAGATCCAAACTGAGACTTAGCTGCTGGTCTAGGTTAATAAGAGCCAACCTTTCAAAGAGGCCCTTCAAAGAGGTTGTCTCCTACCCTGGAAAAGGTTTGGTTCTGTTTGCTTATTTTCCTACTGTGACCCAGGGACTAAATTTAACCTGTAATACATTTTTTTTTTTTTTTTGCGGTACGCGGGCCTCTCACTGTTGTGGCCTCTCCCGTTGCGGAGCACAGGCTCTGGACTCGCAGGCTCAGCAGCCATGGCTCATGGTCCCAGCCGCTCTGCGGCATGTGGGATCTTCCCGGACCGGGGCACGAACCCGTGTCCCCTGCATTGGCAGGCAGACTCTCAACCACTGAGCCACCAGGGAAGCCCTACAACATTTTTATATATTTACACAGAATTATAGGAAATCCAAACATTTACCTTCTTCAAACACTAGAGGTACCCTTGGGTGCCAGGAACATTCCATGGGCTAGGGGAGAACCTACTGTGCCTTTGTCCCCTTAAAAGGACATTTTCTAGAAAAATGATGTGTGGGAATCTAAAGTTGGAGTTACATCAGGTCTTTCAGGGTGTAAATATTAGAATAAGACCACCTGGATACTGACTATCTTCTTTCCTTTTCAATTATTTCGTGTACCCATGAGAAGAATTAACTATCCATTGAATCTGCACTATGCAATGGTGCAATCTGAAAAGCAATGGAAAATTCAGAAGTCATAACCCATACTGCTCTCTAGCTGATGGGGAGGAGGGAAGCATTAAGGTCCTTATTAGTGAAAGTGGGACTTAGTTATTTTGGAACGCTGTTTCTGCATCGCAATACTTTTGGCAAAAATGTACACCTCTGAAAGTCAACATGTCTCATTGTTCAGAAAAGCAAGATTATGTTATGTTTTGTTTCCAACACCTAAATTTTCAAACACAGCTCTGAAGTAGGCCCCTTCACTGCTCCAGGCCTTTGTTAGCTGACCACTCTTCTGACTTAGGACCAACTCCGCCTCCAGGCACTCATACACGGTCCTCTGGATGCTTTGATTTGCATGTAAGTGGGGGCAGAGTTTGGTCCGTTTTGTAAAGATACTTAACTTTCTCCCTTAGCGGTCCTAGGGAGATACAAACTATATGAGATAATTGCTTCAGAACCAACAGGCCCAAACATGAAAACAACAAAAGACAGAACAAAGCATCCTCAGAGCCTCTTAGATCAGAGAGGAAGCTCTGCAGAGGCTGTCAGCTCTACTCTAAGCACTATGCTGACACCATCGCTTTGAAATAGAGCAATGAAGTCACAACTTTCAAAGATGTGGAAATGAGAAATAACATATATGGAGTAGGAAGGAAACCCCTACTGGGAAATAGGAACAACGGTTCTGAGCAAACACTGCCCTAGTTCCCTGGTACACTTTTGCTGTGTCCATGTTAGGGTGGAAATTGCATTAAATTTTTTTTGAAAGTACTTTATGTACACTCTTAACTATAACTCAAGAAAAGGTGTTTTTAATCATATTTCCTGGCTTTTTCATCTCATTCACAGAGATTCAAATAGCTCAAATGGCTTTACCTTAGATTCACAGATTCCTTGAAGAGAAAACAAAAGAGTAAGCCAGGTCCACATTAGGACTAAAGGGTCATAGAGAGTCAAGATGGTCATGGTCCCTGGCAACGTTTATAATCCAGACATTGATGGAATTTACACCAAAATTGCGCTCAAATGAACAAACTGTCTAGTGAAGGAGTACTTCTGATTCTTCTGCTTATCTCTAGAAAACCAATAACCACATGTTCTACTTTTAGGTACATCTGAAAATATAAGTTGAGTTATACCTGAAATTTGGAAAAATCGGGATATTTTGGCTTTTGTATCAGATAATTTAGCATTGGTACCTGCCTAAATAACAGTTCTGCTCTGAGAGAGATTACTAAGGATCTGAAACAAAAACCTGCTGCTTTATAATGAAAACTGTAATCATAAGATCAATATCAAGTTTTTCTGAACTGTTGAAGGTGATCTAAATTATTGTGGAATTTGACCTTTATCTCTCCTCTTCCGGAGAATAGGACTCACTAGTTACCCATAAGTATAAAAAACACTTACAAATTCATGACCCTTCCTCTATTTTCCTGAAGAGATTTATTAGGAAGTTATTTTGCTTCTTTCCTCAAAAGACAAATGGATGTACTACTTTCTCTTTCATTACAGAGAACAGCATTAACACAATCCAGTCGATGCATGTGGGGGAGATCAACCAGAAACTGGTGGAAGCCAGCACCCAATTTAAAAAGAAGCAAGGAAAAGGCACAATTGATGTTTGGTGGTTGTTTGATGATGGAGGTAAAAAATTCCAGAATATACACTAGGGAGCAGAATTTCTATGTTGATAAATTTAACAATCTGCATGGGAACGTATATGAAACGATATCAGTTAAAGAATAACATTTCCGTGTTCTCCAAAGATTTAAATTAGGTAGGAGCTATGAATGTGGGAAAGAATAAAGATATGAAGCTACTCATTTCAGTTGGATATGCTCATTCTTTTGTCATAATCTACTCTCTTTTTGTTGTTAGGGTTAACACTCCTTATCCCCTATATCTTGACTCTCAGAAAAAAATGGAAAGACTGTAAATTAAGAATCTATGTCGGAGGGAAGATCAATCGCATTGAAGAAGAAAAGATTACGTAAGTAATTTATCACTCCTGTGTTTGTATGTTTGCTGTTTTAATGCTTTAATTTTAAGAACTGTAAGCATCTTTGAGGCACAATAAATTTAAAGACAAAGTCACCATGATAGGCCTCAAGCTTACTTGTCTCTGGTCAGTAAATTATCTGTGTAATTTTTCTAATCATTGTCTTCAGTCCTTTTATCCCCTTCCACAAATGCTTCCAACAAGCATGTGGCACAGAAGCCTCATCTCAGGTCTTGAATGAGAGTATCATTATCTTGTATAATGTTTATTTTGTTCTGACTGGTAAATGCATCCAAGAAAGGAAGAGCCTGAAGGCATTTGTGTCCAATAGTTTCTTCTGGGAGATTCAAACCTGTTAATTCACAGCAGTCACTCTAGCACAGCACACTTAGAAGAGAACAGAGAGACTACATCTGGTCCGAGCCACAGCTCTGCCACCAACAAGCTGCAGGACTTTGCAACAGTCACTGCACATATCTGGGTCTCCAGTTTTTCACTTGTAGTGTGAAAGTGTTTAAATGGATGACTGTTGATGGCTCTTCTAATTAAAAACATAAGTAAGTCCCACGGTGTTAAGTCTGTGTCTCTCTTATTACTTTAGTCATGGAGAGTTGATCTGTAGTTTTGAGAGCAACAAGCATGCCGAGAGTGTGGTGTATCCAAAGGTCTCGGGTGGGAATCTGGAGAATGCCATTTGGCGGCATTTGGTCCCTCATGACATGCCTAAGTCCTAGTCCTTCCTGGAACTGCTACTTCCAGAAATCACAAAATAATGACTGGCTCTTATTCAGTAGTTTTTCACATTTTCTCCCCCCTCTTAGAAAGATATTATAAATATTTAATTCCTCGTAAAGAGAGTCATACTAAAATGGAAACTAACATGAGGTCTACAATAATTTATATTTTCTTAAAGCCTCTAGTACCTTATTGGGACAAGTGATAAAATCTGAAAATGGTGGTGGATTAGATGGTAGTAGGGCATCAGTGTTAAATTTCCTGATGTCAAAAACTGTACTCTGTTTATAAAAGAGAATGTCCTTGTTCTTAGGAAATACCCACTAAATTATTTACAGGTAAAGGGGCCTGATATCTGCAACTTACTTTAAAATGGAAAATAGGTAGGAGGTAGAAAGCCAGCAAGCAAAAAATATATAGATAGACAGATGTAGATAGAAAAAGAGAAAAGGAGAATGACAGATCAAATGGGGCAAAATATAAACAGTTGGTGAATCTGAGCTTTCTTTGCACTATTCTTGTAACTTTTTTGTAACTTTGAAATTATATCAAAATTTTCAGTTTCTAGGGGAAAAAACCTTTTAATCTATAATGATGTAATAATATATAATAATTATTAGTTTGTCAGTAGTTTGTCAGTAACTCTATAAAAATTATCCATAATAGTCAATAAGTACTGGAACTTGCTCTCTTTTTTCCAAATGATAAGAGTGGACAGCTCCACAATATCTTCCCTGAAACATGAAGGCAGAGCTGGGTTTGCTGTTTCCAGTGACTGCACCTACAGAAATTTCTCCTTGCCTTCAATGGAATAACTTGGTCCACATTTATCTGTATTCATCAAGTACTGTAATGAAAATCAAACACTAACCAAAGCCTTTGTCCAAAATCTAAGCTGAAATAAGACATGAAATCAAAACTCTTTGATTGAAAATAGCTAAATATGCAATGATGAAGTGTTTCTCTCTTATATTTTCAGAATGGCTTCCCTCCTGAGCAAATTTAGGATAAAATTTGCAGACATCCATGTCATTGGTGACATCAACATTAAGCCAAACAAAGAAAGGTATGAAACATTGAACAAGATCCATTGTTTATTCGTGGTACTCTCGCCTTCTCTTCTGTGTTAATTATCAGAAGGTAAAAATGTTATGGATTTACTGCAGTGACTCCTGATAGGGTATAATAAAAAGGGATTTCAAATAATCATGACACAGAGCTATCATGTTCTAATGGAAGGAAAAGGTTTTAAGGTGAAGATGAACTTGAGAGGAAGAATTGTTGAAACACCATTTAGTTAACATTTTAAAATTGCCCTTCATGTTATTGGTTTCTATGGTGGCAAGATTAACAGGAAGCACAAGCTCAGACAATTCTGACCTGAGCAGTCAGGGTAAGTTTTCATTATTGAACATTACTGGTGGGGCATCCTGAATGGGAAGCCTATGAGAGCCCCTAAAGGCGGTCTCTATCTGAAGCCTGGCAAGAAAATGTATTGCTTCCAAAATTTTTAAATGAAAAACATTGAAATAATTGTTTAAATGTCTTCAAAACAACATCATTTTAATTTCCTTGATTGTTAAGTTTGTCAAGTCCATGATATTTGAAAACAATTTGTAGGTAGATCTTAAAAGGAGTTCCCAGAGGTGTAAGAAGATTGTCTGAAAATCATAGCCAATTATAAATTAAAGTACTTAGAGCAATGACTTAGCAATTATAAAATATTTTCAATTGTTTACAGTCCAAAATCATATTTACTGTTGCATCTAGATGCAGTTTAATACATTTGATTTGGTGTGGAATAGGGTCTCCAAGGGTTAGAGTAGAGGGAGACACGAAGGTCTCAGTATGGCTTAGGTCCTTGCTGGACTCTTGGACCTCTTCTCATTTCTGTTGACCATCATTTCTCCTTCCTCCTGCAGTTCTTGATGGATTGCAATTCCATATTCCTTGAGCCTTCTTGCTCTTACCTTCTTTTGATTCACTGTTATCTCAGATGAGCTTAATAACTAACTGAAAATCATCCAGATTTACGACGCATTCTTATTGACCAAATGGCAACCTCGAACTTCATATAGTTTGAGGGTGTTCATGATTCCTCCAATGTTATGGGTCAGTTAAAACAGCTTTACGAAACATCTTAACTGTGATAAGAAAGCTATAATTGACAGGGTTAACCTGGATTATTACTATGTAGTATTTCCTTATATCATATATACCACTAATGCCTTTCATTCCTGTATTTCTACAGTTATAAACAGTTAAAAAAAATTAAGAACAGATTTATCATCCTCCTTGGTAAATGGAATTAACATTCTGATATGAAGTGAACTGTCATGTGGTAACCTCTGGTAGCCTTCCACATTTCACTTGAAGAATTTTAATTCCTAAGTCGCTGCCTCTTGGCTTTTGCAGTGATGTGATCAAACGGGCTCATCTTATAGCTCTAATTGGTGGGAATGCATTCTCTTTCATAACACAGCAGGTCCAGTGATTCCCTAGTATGTGCCACTTAGCAACAGGCCAGAGCCTGCCAGCGCTCTGCAAGTACAGGACCATTTACTGTTGTCTAGAGCAGTCACAGTGTCCCCTACTGACTTTGGATTTTCTATAAGCCCTGGCTCAATGCTGGGCACAGATCAGTCACCTACTTCTCGTAGGTGAATTCTTCTTGCTGTTGTTTGTCTTATCAGCAGCTAAGGACTGTCTGTGCTTGCTGATTAATTCGTTTCTATATCCTTTGCCTCTTTACCCATCAATATGGTTTTCTCTACCCAACTCCTGTTTCCTTCCCTCTCTTTTGTGCTAGTCTCTGCCCAGCTGCCATGGTCACCTGCTGCATACCCATCCTTTCTGTCCTATCACTGAGGATGTTGATGTATCTCTTTTACTAACCATGTCTCTTCCTTCTTTGAGTGTCCATCACAGGCTAGACACTCTTCATCTTCCTACCCCTGACCTTTGTTCCATGGTTTCCTCTTCTCAAGGAGGAAACTCTATGCACAGTCGTAAGAAACAAAGGACCCAGGCATTTGTGCTTTTGTCCTGTTATCTAAATTTGACTTTAGACACCATTCTGATTTGGTGTTTCTTACATATCCTCCACATCCTGCAGTGAAGAGTTCTATTCCCCTTTCTCAGGAAAAAAAAAAAAGAATTAGTTTTCACAATTGTGGAGATTCTCTATGTGATATTTCAAGGTCTTGAGGAAGATGCAGGAAAAAAAAGTCCATTCTTACTAGAATAACTGCAGTGAATGTACCCTGGTGTGAAGACAAAAGGCCACCAAGAAGAGGTGTGCTGGAAGTGCCATCCTTCTCTCTTCAGTCTTCAGCTATAACTGATGCCGTATTACTTTATAAAACAACCACATGTCCAATGCTGGCAATGCCTTTTCCAATATTTGAAGGTAAATTTTAGAACAGAGAATGGTCATTCAGTAAATCTCACAAATGGCCACTGGTAGCACACCTAGCACCTTTGTGATAATTTTTAAAAGGCAACTCCTCTGAGTGGTTTAATAAGAGAAAGAGAACTCTTCCTCTGGGCTGATGCAGCCCCAGGCCCGGGGCCCAAAGCTTACAGCACTGTCTCAACTTCAGCTTTCACATGGGCCTTGTTGGTCAGGCAGCCCTCGTCTACCATTAACAGCTATCTCCTGATCACTGTTCTTTCTTGGTCACTATTTTCACACAATGTTGAAAATAGTTTGTCAGTGATTTCCGTGTTGGAGGCTAATGTTAACTGTCCTTCAATTACCTTTAATAGATCTTTCAACTACCCATAAAACATGAGCAAGTCTTGATGGAGACATTCTATCATAAAAATATTATCTATAAATATGGTAGTGCAAGGGTGAAAGGGAGTACAAAAGCAAAGTTAATGAGAAAATAATTGGGAAAACTGAAAAGCTCTTGTGGCTAAATTTCATTTTTTATTGTACAGACTGAATTAAAAGTAATAGGCCAATAGAACAGCAATCTTTAAACAGAAATCAGAGAGAAACTAGAAGCAATTAACTAGATAATTTAGTTGAAAGATGCTAGTGTGATCACAAAAGCAATAAATACATTAATTTGTGAGAAGAAATCTTATATGAACTTAGGGGGAAATTTTTATGCAGTCAAAAAATGTTTTTAACTTTGTTATTATGAGGAACAAGGATGGGGAAGGCAGGGCAGCTATAAGTTAATTTTTTAAATTAAATTAATTCTCACTTATATTTAATAGTATGTAATACTCGACCTATTCTAGAATCAATTAAAAAATAATTATAAGAAAGATCAGATTTAATAAGAATCAAATAGAAATCCTGAGCTACCTTTGGATCACCAAGCTAGGAGAATGGAAAATGGCCAACTATTATCAAACTTAACTGAAAAAATCCAAGGGTATTTTGGCTTTCAGGTGAAGCTTGATCTAGGTTAATTTTACAATTAAGGACTAATTCTCCTTCATTCTCTCTACTCTACCTTGTATTATGAAATCATCAATCAAAGTTGATTTAGCTTATAAAACCAAGATGAATGCCCATCGCAGCCAGAACTACATATTTGCTCATTTGTGTTCAGTGGGAGAAAAAGTTTGTCTCTTCCCCAGTTGTTGAACTCAGGTCATTGGCTGCATTCAGGTAGCACCAACCCAAGCCACTGAGCCACTTGTTGTGGTCAGTAAAATGCAAGGTGCCTATTGGTCAAGATTTCCTGGGTTATGTGCTCACCCTGGCCAATCAGTCTGGCAGAAGGAATAGAATTGTATTGACTGTCTGATGCTGGGGATAGAGTCATTCCCACCCAAACTACAATGGAGAAACATAGTATGCATGCTGGGGGGACAACCAGCAATCTCCTTTCCACTTTCCATTTCTTAGGAAACTATTTTTGAACTGCTCTTTCTAATAAGCACCTGGGCTGAGATGCGAAGAAAACTCTTATCCTGATCAAAATAATTATATGTAGAGCTTAAACAGAGAAACTGTCAATTGCTAACCTCAGTCCTATGGCTGCTGAGTAAAATGAATGCCTTGCTTTTACAGGGCACTTCATACTTTGCAGAGCACTGTCACCCAAATCATCATATTAACACTCACAACAACCACGTGCCAGCTTTGAGCAGCCATTATTACCCCCTATTATAGGCAAGGTTATCCAGGTCAAGGAGGACAATGGAAGAGCTGGAGCAAGAACCCAGGCTCTTTTCTCCTAGGCCAGCAACTTTGCGCTGATCACTGCCAAGGTCTCTGAAAGCACAGCACTGTTGGGAGGAAGAGCAAATAAAAGTATTGTGTGGCTGCAAGAATAATAGGGCATATCAGTCTTATTCCTTCCCTGTCACTGTCTACCATTCTAAATAAGTCAAAGCATCAGAAATCTACTGCATTAAGTATCTCTTCAATCCCTTAAAAAAAGCACACTGGTAGGGACAACCTACTCCTTTGTAATCTCTGTACTTCGTACAAATCCTAAATCAGGACAACTGATGAGATCACTGAACTCATTGCTCCATATTTTAATTTCTTAACCTAACATCACATTGATTCTAATTATCACTCATTCCAAAATTACTAAATTATAAGTAAGCCACATTATATAAAACCAAAGAAAACTTTATATTTGAGATCATCTTACAGTAGCATAGTAAAGACAACTACTCCTACAAATTAGAAACTTTGTTTTGTGCTATTTTAAAAATAAGTCTTGTGGCTTTCCTGGTGGTGCAGTGGTTGAGAATCCGCCTGCCAATGCAGGGGACACGGGTTCGAGCCCTGGTCCAGGAAGATCCCACATGCCGCGGAGCAGCTAAGCCCATGCGCCACAGCCGTGAGCCTGCGTGCCACAACTACTGAAGCCCGCGTGCCTAGAGCTCGTGCTCCACAACAGGAGAAGCCACCGCAGTAAGAAGACCACGCACCACAATGAAGAGTAGCCCCCACTCACCACAACTCGAGAAAAGCCCGTGCACAGCAACGAAGACCCAACACAACCAAAAATAAATAAATTAAATAAATTTATTAAAAAAAAGAAAGTCTTATGAGATTCTTATGAAAGACAAGAATGAGATTTTTCAGCAATTTTTAAGATGTTCCGCAGCTCTGAGATACTGCTCCTCCTTTTCTATTCAATGATTTATTCTTAATCGCTCTAAAATGCCCTCAGACTTTAAAATATTATTGATTTTTGTTCTTTCCTCTAACATGCACCTGAACAATAGCCATTTGAAAATCTCAGGCAGCAACATCAGATACCAGAAGGACAAAGGCTACATTATTTACAGCAAACATTCAAATTGTTCTATAGCCATTGAACTCACTTCCTTGCTCCTCTTAGTTACTATTCTCCTACCTGCCTGCAGCCTCCTGCCATGAGTGCGAGTTGCCATGTGGACTAAAGGTGAGGAGGGCAACCCTATCCAACTCTCAGGGATGCTAGTTCATCTCCTACATTAATTCATGAATGTCTCCCATAGAATCTATAAAATAAGCAGAAGGAAACTCATTTATGGGCTGAAAGTGTCTACGTTACAACTGTGTCTTTGACTCTATTATGTAGAACATGTATTTGCAGAATAATTATTATCTGTGTGTTTGTGTATTTATATTGAGGATCTAATGCCTAGTAGGCTATCAAGGCCTCACACACGTTAAGGCCTCTCTCTGGATAGGGAGGCACTACTAGAGCCATGGTTTTACTCACAGAAAGTCCCCTGCAAAGATAATTCTTAAAAGATTTGCATGACATTCAGCTCTGATTCTGTAGCCAGCAGGGCTAGTCATACCTAGAGAATCTGTGAAATAATGAGTTGGTTTCCCACTGCGAGGCCTCTTTTATAATTCCAATTTCAGCTGGAAATTCTTTGAAGAAATGATTGAACCATATCGTCTCCATGAAAGCTGCAAAGATTTAACAACTGCTGAGAAATTGAAGAGAGAAACTCCGTGGAAAATTACAGATGCAGAACTGGAAGCAGTCAAGGAAAAGGTAAGAACTTGTCTCGCTTAATCTTTACTTTGCTATCTGACTAGCTGAAAAAGAAAACAGTGGTTGATTTAAAGATCAAGAAGTAATGTATCTATTATAGAATTTCATTATTCAAGATCCAGGGTTTCTCCATATTTCAAGTGCTCTTTCAATCATATTATTGAATATGAGGATTTAGAAAACTGTTTTCATTTTTTAGTATAAAATCAATTTTTAAGTTAAGAACAGGTTATTGATACATATTGTGAAGTCTTCTTTCCAATTTAATTTTATAGAACAGGAGACAGACCCATCAGTCTAAAATAATTTAAGTCAATACATATGAAAAGTAAATACAGACTGACTCACAGTTTGAGACAATAACAAAGAATTTTAACCTGGTAAAGTTATCTATAAAAACTAACATAGGGATCTGAGAAAATATGTAATTGGAGCAATGAATATGAAAGTTGGATCCAGCACATCTTGTAGGACAGATGTAAAATGGTGGGCTCTTCTAGAGAACCAAATAAAATGGGAGTTACCCTAATGGCCTGAGCTGAATGAAGTTGCAATAGTGAGGATGATGAAAAGGGCAGGGACATAAAAATAAGGCAGAAGAATTGACATCTGAATTGGATTAGACATTCAAGGAAAAGGACCACAAGAACCTCTAAACTACAAAATTTAAATAAATTATATTAGGAGCTGAAGTTGGTACAAATTAGAGCAGGAGATACTAAAAGCCTTTCAAATTTAGTGGGAAAATACTGAGCTAAGAATCATAAGCTCTGTGTGTGATAAACTTCCCAGTTCTAACAAAAAGTTTTCATATAATTGAGCAAATCACTTATCTATACTTTGTTTTCTGAACCAGTGAAATGTAATAATAAATATTACTCTCATCACTGCAAAATAGTTAATGTAGTTATTTTTCCAAATGTGTCTTTTGGTAACTCTTTCATTGAAACCAGTCCCCTGTGCCGGTAAAAATCAAAGAGCTTAAATAAAGATAGACTAGGGTATAACCTATGTTCTTAGGATATCAAATTAGTATCAAGATTAGGTTAGTTTTCTTCAGCTGCAAACCTGTTCCCCAGCACTGGCCATTCTTATCTTCTTTTTACCGTTATCCATGTGGCTTGCTTGTTTTTTTTCTTCTAGAATTTAATAAGCCACTATAGCACAATGGTCTTATTCTTTATGTTTCTAAAATTTCCCATGAGTTTTAAAAACACTGTTAAGTTTCCAAACCTGAATGAAATAACTGTAATTTTTTAAAATGAGGTTTTTCTACTTGTCCATAATTTGAGGTAAGAAGATAAATTCTCATTCATAATTCTGGGAAAACTGCCCTCAACAAAATCTGAATGTTGTCCACAGAGTTACCGCCAAGTTCGACTGAACGAACTCTTACAGGAGCACTCAAGAGCTGCTAATCTCATAGTCCTGTAAGTATCATTGCAGACATTTAAGACTGTTACAGAGAAACCTTAGTTGTGAATTTAAAAGCTCACAACTATTCAGGTGGAAAGTTAAATTTGGAACATGTGGGATTTTAGGCAGCGAGGGAAAATAAAGGCCACCCTGAGACACTGACAATTGAGGCCCATGGGCTTTAGAGGGCTCCATTTGGACTTTCCACCAGGTGTTCCCCACTCAAAGGGCCAGGGGCATAGTGCATGCCCATCTAGAACCCTGGCTCCTCCCAGGTTCCAGGGAACCTGACCCTGGAATTCCCTGCCTAATTAGCCCCAAGCTGGCTACCAAGGTTCCCAGGCCCCTTCCCTAGATAGCTGCTCCTGAGGTATGGAGTCCATAGCAGGTTTGCAAGACTCTTTACCATGGGGGAAGAAGCCAGGGCAGGAGAAAAAGGAGTGGGCTTTTCCATTTCCACTCTTTGCCCTCCACTCCACAAATGTTAGGGGTGTACCTGCTGAAAATACGAATGTTTACCTAAAGATTCATTGCTAAACATGAAAACCAACAATTTCACATTTATACCTCATGAACTGACTCCTATGTACAAAGTTAAGTATGTCTTCAAACAAGGTCTACACTGGAGGACTATCCATTTAAGACATAGATTGTTCTCCTGAATTGGGTGGTAGGACTCAAACAGCTGTTTCTCCCAAATATAAGAGCTTTAAACCATTAGGAAAAGTCATTTTTTCCAAAAATGGGGAGAGGTATTGGTTGATCACATTTTCTATTTAAAGAGTGAAAATTTATTATATTTACGCTTTGCCTCTACCCTACAATGCCCAAGCCTATTTTTCTGGTTTGTAGGTATTTATATTATCTGAGAAGTATATCAATTTAATATCTATATTCAAAATAATTTCCATGCTTTCATTTTGTCGGGGAGGCACATAAAAGGTTCAGGCCACTTGTTATTACATAGCTCAGATAACTAGTGATGTTACTGCCTGTACTAATTGTCACATTTGTTCTTTATTTTTCTTCCATGCTGTCAGGAGCCTTCCAGTGGCAAGAAAAGGATCTATATCAGATTGGTTGTACATGGCTTGGTTGGAAATCCTCACGAAGAACCTCCCTCCTGTCTTACTAGTTAGAGGAAATCACAAAAATGTCCTGACGTTTTATTCTTAAAAGATAAAGGATTAGAACACATTTTACCTTAATGTATGAATAAGTAGGAGACATGTTCCAGTACTTCATGTTATAAATCTGATCTGTGGATATGCAAACCTCTGGAGACCAAGTAAACTTTGTCATTTTTTAAATTATTACTTAATAGGAGCTATTTTTTTTTTCTATCAGCTTAAGGGGGTGTCAAAGCCAATGCTACCCCTAGAAAAACATCTTGTCATTGCTGTTGAAAAACAAGAAAATTAAGCAAACCCATGCTGGCTTATGCCCATGAAAACCACCAACTTATTGTAAGCTTTTCCAGGCACACCTAATCTTCTGTGTGCTTCTAGGCCCTGGTAGAGGCTTCAGCCCCCAGCAGTTTCTCATTAAATTCCTATTGACAGGCTGGTATAGTAACCATGGGTGGTTATCAAAGGAAAGGACCAACTGGGCAGGAAACATGATTATGCTTAGCCTTCTGAGAAGCTTATACCTACAAAGAAGATTTGAAAATGAGTAACTGAAACCTTTAAGGAGTACTTGCTTCTACACAGTGTTTAAAGCAGTTACCTAAATGAGGTTATTTAATATAACACAGATCATATACTTAGAGTGATCTGAGCGATTGCTGATAACATATGGCTTCAATTTGGGGCTGATTGAAAAATATATTAGCTGGACTAGGAGGCAACATATATTCCAATTAAGTGAAATATATTCCATCCTTAATATATAAATTTCAGTTGCTTTCCCTATTTAGACATTTCCAGCATGGTATTACTTTGCATATTTTTTTTCTAATTAAGTGGGTAGCACAGATGAAGTCTTCATAGATGTTTAATTGAAAACCAAATACCACACATTTTCTAACTGTTATAAAGAAGTATATCCTGAATCATATATTTAGTTACTTTATACAGTGATTGTATAGATTTAAAAGAATAATTAAAACGTGAAGTGGAGAAACTTGCAAATTTGGAACATGCAAGTATCGATTTTGTTTCATTTGTTAGTGTTCCTATAATACTTAATCATATTAAAAAACAACCAAAAATTTTTTTCTGATGGATGACTTGCTTATTTTTTTTCTTGACATATTATGACTGTTTATTCTAACTGATAAAATGTGAGGGGAAAAAAATCAACCTGAAATAAAACCACTCAAATTCGTTTGCTCTGGCCTAGGTCATGTTTTTACCTTTCAGTCACTAAAATCACAGTGCAGGGCTTCCCTGGTGGCGCAGTGGTTGAGAATCTGCCTGCTAATGCGGGGGACACAGGTTAGAGCCCTGGTCTGGGAATATCCCACATGCCGCGGAGCGACTGGGCCCGTGAGCCACAACTACTGAGTCTGTGCGTCTGGAGCCTGTGCTCCGCAACGGGAGGCCACGATAATGAGAGGCCCGCACACCGCGATGAAGAGTGGCCCCTGCTTGCCACAACTAGAGAAAGCCCTCGCACAGAAACGAAGACCCAACACAGCAAAAATAAATAAATTAACTAATAAACTCCTACCCCCAACATCTTCTTTAAAAATCACAGTGCAATGGTGTATCAGATTGGAGCCTGAAATTTTCAATCGGTTGCCTCATCTGCAGGTTGTTTATAAAGATGGGATTCAAGATTAGTCTTCCAGGCCAGACTCTGGCCTCAGAAGGATGACTAGGGAGGGAAAAGGGAAATAGCAAAGCTTAAGAAGCAGCATATCCCTATTCCAAATCTGACACCATTGGACTTAACTCAGGCCTGGATTAGCCCTCTCTCTTGAGCCCTATGTACCTGAAATCCAAATGGCTAGATGCCATCCTGGTGACCAGAGCAAGGAGCACCCGGCTTCATCTGGATCTGACACTTCCCTAAAACACTTGATAGGGTCTCTGGAAAAGGTGAAAAGTCCTGTGACTTCTATTACATGAAATTCTGGCTCTCGTTTCTTGAAGAAGCTGTTATGTTAGGTCCCTTAGGAAACAGACTTGGAGAGAGTTTAGCGTGGAGCCTGTTTATTAAGGAGTGCCCTTGGGATCAACACCTGTGGAAGGGTGAGGGAAAGGTGAGGTGTGATGCAGTCCCAAGGACAGTCTCAGTGACCTCACAGGGAGCTCTGGAGATAGAATGTCCCTTCAGAATAGTCCCAAGAAGGGCTGAGAGGGCCAGGACTTTATACCGCCGCATTTATCAGTCATTGGAGGTGGGGTGGCCCAGGTAGGAGTGTGAACTTGGATGAGGCAACTCTCTGCAGGTAAGGCATGCCAAAGGGCCTGACAGCTCAAGTCTGTCTGCTGACAGCACTCCCAGATGCTGCGGCAAAAAGTCCTTCATTAAACAGGGTGTGGGTGGGGTATCACCATGCCAACTGCAGGGGTCATATAAAGTACTGGTCAAAAAACAAACAAACAAACACTCACACTGGCCTAAGTTCAAGTCTCACCATTTATTAGTGGTATTACCTTAAACTAGTTATTTAATATTTTGAGGGTTACTGGCAAAAGAGTGACTGAAGGGATGTCCCTTGGGTTCCAGGTTAAGAAATTGAGGAGAACATGGACCGAGAAAAACGGGGATGGGTGGTAGTAAGGGACTGGTGATCCTGAGGTCAAGAGCAGCTGTATTGGGAATAGGTTAGGGGAGCAGAAAATTGAAAGGATGGGGGCTATGGTCAAATGCCAACAGATTTTTGTAGTCCTCAGTGTCCTGTCCTTGTCCTTTGATTTACCCAACTCTATTAACCCAACCTCCCACTATCCCCATGTCTATACTCAGGTTGCTGAGCAAGAAGAAGGTTACACATTCATGTTCATTGATGTCCAGCTTCCTCTGTCCCCTCACTTTGTACATGGGTCTCATCAGCATCCCTACCCTTTTCTCACAATGACTTTTCAAAATCTTCATCACTTTTTCAGTTGATGACCCTGGCACCATCCCTACAACATAGCCAGGTACATAGAGATGTAAAACTTTCTTATGTAAGGAAGACCACACTGGGAGCGTTGCCTTACAATTTCTTCCCTCAATACTCAAGTTTAGAGCTCTTTCAATGGAAGCTTTAAAAAAAAAGATTATAGATTCTTGAGGACAATCATAAGCCTACCAAATTAGACTCTACGGGAGAAGGACCAAGGAATCTGTATATTCTGACGATCCGCAAGATTTTGGAACTCCTGCTTTAGGCAGTCTTCCCTGTTTCTGTGACTTGACTCCCACCATGGGCTGATGCCTCCCAAATTTATATTTCTAACACAGAGCTCCCCTAAGTCTCAGATCCATATATTCAATCACTAATTTTCATGGTGTTTCTCTTTGTATATCCTGCAGACACTCTAAATGCAAGATGACCAGATTTCTGTTAAAAACAAACACACAACTAGAGCATTGCCTTTCTCCATTGCCTATCAGATCCTTTCTGAAACGACCAAAAAGACATACAAATAGGAAAGTTCTGCATCATGGCAGGAAACTAAGGAAGGATGCCATTCACATGATAACATTTTTAGAAATACAATCAAGCTGGAGTTTACATGGGATGAGATTGATGAAAGCTAGAAAAGGTCAGCTTGCAACAAATGCTCCTGAGAAAAATCCAACATGTCACAGGAAATAGTTGCAAGAGACCCTGGGAGAAGTCCACTAACTCCTCCCCCAAGTGTGCAGGTGAAGGTTAGAAGCTGAAGGTACGACAGACAGAGTGCAGCATTGGGTGGGATCCCTTTTGTTGGATACTGAGAATATTCAGAAATGGCTGCCCGGAGAGGCCAAATGGTATGCTTGGTGAACACTCAAAGCAGACATGGGTATTGCAGTGGAGCATCTCATAGGTGTCCTTGAAAGGCACCAGAAAGATATGTGCCATCAATACAGGCTGAGCCAAAGAGAAAATCAGCCCTTGATGCACAATTCTCCTAATACTGTACAGAGAAGAAAACTCAGAGATGGACGATCTTGTCCCTGGGTCTCACTGTTCTTAGGCTGCTGGGTTCCTAAACTGGCACTGCAAGTTGATATCAACCAGGCCTTATTAATTAAATTAAATAGGAGGATTGTAACGATAACCAGGTGATGTGGTGAAGGTCCCTGTGTCATTCACAGAAGATCAGCACATCTGCTGGTTGTCAAACTTAGCATCCACAGGATCCTTGCTGGCTGGATATTGCTACACAGGTCACCTGGAGCCAGTCCACCTAGATATTTCTAATGTTTTCCTCCACAGAGATGTAGGGGACGTGTTGACATAAGGATGAAATCTGTCTGGACTCCCAGGGGGAGAACAGGAGAAATTCCTCTTTGGGTGTGACTCAGATGTCCCAGTTGCTGACAGATCAGGGCATCCCCATGAGTTGCAGTAAGAGCCAAGAGGTCAAGCCAAGAGTGCTCAGGGCCCAGCATCTGACCCAGGCATTCCCACGGGGCCACCAGCTGCCCCAGAGCATGGCAGCCCTGGTCTACAGGCAAAATCTCCTCTCCAGAGAAGGTATGTTGGTCAGTCTTACCTCTTTAGGATTTCTGATGCTGAAAAGAACCATCTCAGTCTCCCTTTTTTTAATGCAGAAAAGCGTTTTCAAAAAGAATATATAATATTTCATCTCTCATCTATGACACCATTCTAAACACACTATTTTAGGTCCCACTAAGGAAGAAAAATTTCTGCTATTTAAATTATGACATAATGTCCTATCACTTGGCATTTTGTTATATTAATTGAGATGCCTTTTTTTAGGCTTATGTAGGTATAGAATTTTAAATCACATACCATTCTTGTGCATGTAAAAAAAGGAAAAGATAAGTGAAATAAATTTGGTTCCACTTCAAAGTCCCACTCTCCTTTTCACCTTTCCACTCTTTTTATGTCTGTTTTTTCACAGGACAGATCCTCAGTGCCAGGAGGAGCACTAGTGGCTCAGCATTTCTCACAAGAGAAAGCCAGTGGACACTATTTTGTCATTGGCTTTAATAATTTTGATAATTCTAGGTTTGAGTAGTTTTTTAATAGCTTAAATTTGTCTCCTAAAGAATTTAAAACATTG